TGAAGACCATCAACTGGAGGGAACAGGTTTGAGAAAAGCTGCATTATGGAACCAGTTAGGAATATTGGGGGGAAAAAATAATGGTGATAGGATGAGAGGAGTCTTAGGCTGAATCCCCATTCAGTTACGATGTCTTTTGGATGACCTGGAACATGTCATCTCTCCGTTGGAACACGTTATCTCAGATTTCCTCATCCTGCAAGGATGAAACAAATGGGAAGATCTATGATCTGGGACTTTCCAAGCAACTTGGGGAAAGGTTGGGCTAAAAAAGTAGTTATGATTTGAAGTCAGGATACTAATCTTGCCTTTGAACAGTACTAATTTGTTCTCTCGGTTCTTCTATCTTCTAAGATTTTTTTAAATTTCATTTTTAGGCCTGTTTTTGCCCCAGTGCCAATATATTTGCTTATTTAACAAAATCCTGGGGGCTCTGAATATTTTCATCTGAAGCCAAATGCTTCCTTCCCCCCCCCCTCCTCTTTTGAGTTGATCATCACTTCCTCCGAGATCAGACACCTGAGTGACACTGAGCTTCACCATCTATACTAGAAACTTGGCAAACTAGCCTGTCAGGGACAGTATGATGCTCAAAGTCAGAAGACTTGGTGCTGAGGACAAAGCACAAAGAGAACAGTGCTATCTGTTGAAACCATGCTGGTTCCCCCCCCCCCCCCGCCACGGCCACCATTTCCAGCTGGGCCCTTCATCAAGCTTGTTTGAACCAGTATTGCACTTTTCCTATCTTCCTTTTTTTTGATGGAAGAAATTTGGAACCGAACATTGCAGTCCCTTGAGAAGGAAGTCAGTTTTGCAGCTAGAACTGTGTCTGCTATTCTCAACCCGGTAACAGCCTTTACTTAAGGTCCCTTGTAGAACACCCTTAGGCTGGACTTCCCCAAACACCCCCAAAGGTGTTAACCCAGTTCCCATGATTCCCCATTTGGGAAGGCTGCAAGAGATGTCAGCTCTGTTCATTTGTGGAGAATTTCTCTTTCAACATTCTCCCCCCGCCCCTTTCCTTTTGGGGGGGGGGTGTCTGGCAGTCTTCCAGCAGCCTTTTTTTGGCCACTCCACCTTCTTGTTCCCCATCCCTTCTGATCAAACCAGCCAAGATCCTTTGGCTGTTAGTGTGTGTGGCATGATCAAATAATGAACTTTTGTTTACATTTCAATAATAAAGTTTGGATTTTTTAAAAATTAAAGTGTGTGGTTTTGTCTTTTTGTCATTTCCCCCTGCGTTAGCTTCTGGAAAAACTATTGTACTTCTGCAATCCACTCCCCCAATACATGAATGGCCCCTTGAAGAGTTAGAGAAGATGGGCTATCAGGAGTTCTACATTGTTCTGTGCTCATTAGCAACCTTTGTGGGTATGCTCCATTCTTATAAAATATGCTCTTTTGTGTAACATTGCATAGTTACAGAAACCCAAACACAGGTGGAGATCTCTTGGGACCTTACAGAAAGTTTCAAACTCAAGAAATTGCTAGCAGATGCTAAAAAGCACAATTATTCTTAAAGGAGTGGGACTCTCCTAGACCAGGGGTGTCAAACTGGTGGCCCATGGGCCAGATGCGTCACGTGCAGGCCACGCCCACCCCAGTTCCGCAAAGGCAAAAAACCCCGTTGCGATATGTCACGATACATCACGAGTTTGATACCCGTGTCCTAGATGTTCTAATCATTTATTTACCATCCTAATGATGCACTCAGCATGATTGAAAAGATATAATATGAAAGGGAAAAAATAAAATGGAAAAAGTCAGATTAAGATGTGACTCTAATTTATCTCCTGACTTGTATTCTTCTTTCCCTGCTGCAAGGCAATTTTGGGTAGAAAAAAAATAGGACCTCGAGAATTGTTTATATTGCAATCAGGTATATGCAATATGCATTCTTGTAATGGGAAGCATTCCATTTGTAAAATGCCAAGATCACCACAGATGGGGACTGCAGCCAAGAAATTAAAAGACGCTTAAATTAAAAGATGGCACATCTAGACAGCATACAAAAAAAGCAGAGCCATCACCCTGCCAACAAAAGTACGTATAGTCAAGGCCATGATTTTCCCAGTTGGAATGTATGGCTGTGAAAGTTGGACCATAAGAAAGGCTGAGCGCCAAAGAATTGAGATCTTTGAACTATGGTGCTGGAGAAGACTCCTGCGATTCCTCTGGACTGCAAGGCAATCAAACCGGTCAGTCCTAGAGGAGATCAACCCTGATTGCTCTTTAGAAGGCCAGACCCTGAAGTTGAAACTCAAATACTTTGGCCACCTAATGAGAAGGAAGGACTCACTGGAGAAGAGCCTAATGCTGGGAAAAATTGAGTGTTAGATGGAGTCACTGAAGCAGTAGGCGTGAGCTTAAATGGACTCCAGAAGATGGTAGAGGACAGGAAGGCCTGGAAGAACATTGTCCATGGGGTCACGATGGGTCGGACATGATTTTGCAACTAACAACAACCTTATAATCTGCTGTATTTAGTCTCAGACTGGTAAAAAGAGAATGTCATGTATTGCAGGTACAGAATACAGAAGGGAAGTAAATGCTAAATAAATCTTGACATCTTATAGTCCATTATTGGATATTCCAACTTTCCCCAGTCTGGTACCTTTCCGCTGAATTGGATTACCACTCCCATCCTTCCAGTCATGGTAGCCAACATTAGTAGAGTTCACTTCTTCAATGCTTGGACTGAAGGTGCCATGGACTAAGCCTATGGAGCAGAATTAGGGATTTTTTTTAGCTGTAAGCACCGCAGGTAAAGCCGCCTGAGGGTCGGGGATGAGCACTAAGGGATATGTGTATGTGTGTGTGTGTGTGTGTGTGTGTGAGAGAGAGAGAGATTAGCCTTTTTCCATTGTACTTATTCATGGCAGTTTCCTCCCCACTTTTATCAGTGAAAAAGCAAAAATAATATACTATATATAGTTGTAGTTCTATAAAGCATTAGAGGGCTTCCAGTTAATCAGCTGATTTGTAGGTTGCTGCAGGCAGAGTACTTGCTGGGCCTCTTAAGATTCTTAAGAATCCTCACTTAACATCCACTCCTTCAGTGCTCATTGTAAGTTATGCCAGTGCTGAATGAGGGGGTCCTCATAATTGTGGCTCTTGCAGCCTCTCCACAATCACATGATCACAATTTAGGCACATGGCAACCAGTTACAACTTCATAACATCCCACAATCACATGCTCACCATTTGCAGCCTTCACTGCTGGCTTCCACAACAAGCAAAGTCAATGGGGAAGCTACCAGGAGGTTGCAAATGGTGATTACGTGACTATAGGATGCTGTGACCATGCAGGGTTTACTTTCACGTTGGCAAATGAGATTGGTGGAACTGCCATCATAAATTGGTGCAGTCACATGACATTGTGTCTTAAGACTGCTTGCTTGGCAACAAAAGAGTTCCTGGTCCCAGTTACTTTCAATAAGCAAGGATTACCTGTATTGTAGCAGAGGTCTAAAATACTATCTGGCTGGATTGACCGTTAGAAGTGAGACTGATGATGCTGGGTCACTCCTAATTCTTTGTGACATATTTTACCAGGATTGTCTGTATAACTGGGTCTTAGGGTTCTTGTTAGCCTATCCTTTGTCATCCATGAAAGTATTTCATATTTTGTCTGCTATCAATCTTTTCCAATTACTTTTGATTTTCAAAGCACAAGAGCCTTCTCCAAGACTCTTAATTTTAAAGGATAGATAGATAGATAGATAGATAGATAGATAGATAGATAGATAGATAGGTAGGTAGGTAGGTAGGTTGAGACTCTAGAAAGAGTACAGAGAAGAGCAACAAAGGTGATTAGGAGACTGGAGGCTAAAACATACAAGGAACGGTTGCTAGAATTGGGTATGTCTAGTTTAACGAAGAGAAGGATGAGGGGGGACATGATAGCAGTGTTCCAATATCTCAGGGGCCGCCACAAAGAAGAGGGAGTCAAGCTATTTTTCAAAGCGCCTGGAGGCAGGACAAGAAGCAGTGTATGGAAACTGATCAAGGAGAGGAGCAACCTAGAACTAAGGAGAAACCTCCTGACAGTTAGAACAATTAACCAGTGGAGCAACCTGCCTCCAGAAGCGGTGAATGCTCCAACACTGGAAGTTTTTAATGGACAGCCATTTGTCTGAAATGGTATAGGGTTTCCTGCCTGAGCAGGGGGTTGGACTAGATGACCTCCAAGGTCCCTTCCAAATTTATTATTGTTATTGTTATTATCATTGTTATTATTATTTATTATTATAGGTAGGTAGGTAGGTAGGTAGGTAGATAGATAACCTTTATTGTCATTTTTTACTGTGGGCACAATGGCTCACATTAAAAATGAAATTTAGTTGTTTGCTCTCAAAGTGTACACATAAGGAGAATATTTGTAGCTCAGGGTTGAATGAAGGTTCCTTGATGCTGTCTGAGCTTGATTGTTTTCTTTCAGATTACCCACTGCTAGTTTGGGTAATGAAACGTCTGCAAGGAAACAACCATCTCATAGATCCCCAAGGGACCCCTCTTAACTTTTCATACTGTATCCAAAAATGATGGTAGTTTCCAGCAGATTCAGCCTTAAAAGAACAGAGGTCTTCCCAAATCCTTGAGATTCTCCCTCTCCTGACTTCTGCCCAGACATGTCCTCCATCTGCTGTGCTAATGGTAGATATTTTCACTTCTTTTTCAAGGCTGTAGCATAATATATATATTACTTTTTGATGAATTTCAGTTGTATTTTTAGATGGATATTATTCTAGGGCAGTGGGTTTTTTTTTTAATGGATGACTTTTTTAGATATGCTGATGAGAGGTATAAAAATACCGTAAATGTTCCTTCCTGGGCAAGGGAAGCTGTGGACCACCATCTTGATTCTATTTCATGCGTCTTTCCCCTACAACACATCCTTTGTCCTGTTGCATTTTGGCTTGATGCTCCTGCCCCACCCATTGCTTCCTGCTGCCTCATCATTTCCACCCCCTGCTTCTTTTTCCCCTCCCTTCCTCCAGGGGGAGCTCTGAAAAGGACAGCCTGATAGCTAAGAAATGTTCCTACAGCCGCTTCAAGAACTCTGCTGAAAGCGCAGAAGAACCTGAGAAAAGACCAAGTGAGTGATGTCTGATGAGTATGTGTTTGTGTGGGGGGGGAGGTATACAGGTAGTCCTTGACTTACGACTGGTTGCTTAGCAACTGTTTGAAGTTCTGACAGACCTACCTGGAGGTTGGTTACAACCTGGATTCGAAGCTCCAACATTCAGCCATCCTCCTTGCAGTCACATGATTGCATTTTGGACACTTGGCAACCGGATCACATTTATGCCTGTGTGCAGCATCCTGCAATCACACAGCCACATTTTACAATGGTTTTGCCAAAAGCTGGCATTTACTTCCATTTTTTGGCAAAGCTGCCCACACTGCAAACCATTGGTTTGCTTAATGGCCACTGCATTTGCTTAACCACCACCACAAAAAAAGATTGCAAAATAGGGTCAGTCACCTGACTAACTTGCTTTATGACCTTAATGAGTTATGACTGTGATGAGTAGGCTCCATTACTGTCATAACTCGAGGACTACCTGGTAAAAAAAAAATCACATTTATACCTAGCTATCAACTTTACCTAACAAGAGTTTGGGAATATGTAAAGCATTGGTGTGAATGCTTTGGGGAGTGAAGTGTTGAAGGAAAAGGCTTCATCAGGGTCCAGTCCAAGCCAGGAATAAACAACATGGCGACTGCTTTAGAAAGAAGGTTGGTGTTTATTGAAGAGGAGAGCCAGACAGAAAGATGACTCTGGAAGAAAAGAGAGGGAGCACATGTAGGGAGTGGATTTTATACCTTCTGGGGCTCTTGAGTTTGTTTCCTGTTCCTGTTTGAGGCTTTGTATTTCCTGTGTCGTGTCCTTTGACCTGAGTCTTGAGTGTGCCCCCTTGGCATCTGTGGGTTAATCCTGTCTTGTCTTGGATGGGGTATGCAGATTTTAGGTGTCTTTGTCTTCTTAATCTTCTAGCTTGAAGCATCCAATCTTCCTGAATGGATTACCACATCTGCATTTCTACAGAGCTGGTTTCTACTTGGGGGAGGAAAACTTGGGGCTATTAAGAAAAACTGGGTATGCTTTTCTGCCTCTTTAAGATCCTTTGAGGAAATATAATATTCTGCCCTTTTAATATTTCCTTCTCTGTGGGGGGAGCTGACTTCCCACAAAAGTTTGCATTTTGCCTGGGGGGGGGCACATTCAAACAACAGATGGGAAAAACAACAGTCCTCAAAACTTGAAACACCCAAAATAAAATTACTTCATTGAAATATGCATTCATCCAAAGACTAGGGCCAAGGGCCAGAGATTGCCCCTGGCTACTGCAAAGGATTCACTTTTAAACAAATACTTGCAAAGTACCCTCAAGTCTCTGAAGATGTTTACCAGGCTTGCCTGTTTGTGAAAAAATAATAATTTTCTTTATTCTGAATCATCTTGCTGGTCCATCTAACCAAGGTACATTTTTCCCCCTGTGTTTAGATTCATTGACTGAGAATGGAAGATGAAACCTCTATGTCAGTGGTGGCGAACCTATGGCATGGGTGCCAGAGGCGGCACTCGGAGCCCTTTCTGTGGGCACATGCACCGTCTCCTCAGTTTATAAAACCTTTTCGCTTTAGGCCTCTGCCGCCGTGTGCAAAAAAAAAAAAGGTTCAATCAATCAATCAATCAATTTCAACTTGTGGGAAAAAAAAAAGATCTCGCAAAGTTGGAATTGATTGATTGAACTTTTTAGTCCCATCCAGTCTGCTGTTACCAAGGCAGCCATGCCCACCCAATGGGCCACACCCACCCGGCACCCGACGATGCATAAGTGAGTTTTGGTTGCAGTTTGGGCATCAGTCTCTAAAAGATTTGCCATCACTGCTCTATGTGGAAAACGTGGCTCTCTAATCACTCTGTCATATAATACAGGTGGTCCCCAACTTACAACAATTCATTTAACGACCATTCAAAGTTACAATTGCACTAAAAAAAAGCCGGTTGCCAAGCATCTGAATTTTGATCACACGATCATGGGGGATGTTTCAAAAGTCATAACTGTGAAAAAGGGTCATAAGTCACTTTTTTCAGTACTGTTGTGACTTTGAACAGTCACTAGATGAACTGTTATAAGTTGAGGACTACCTGTATATGATTGCAATCTCATCTGAAACAGTCTTTTAACACAGAACCTACAATGTATTAGTATGGATTAGTAACATGACATTTGATCCTTCCTACTTTTTTAGGTGATATAAGGAATAACCCTGATTCACCAAGAGCAACTCAGAGATCAGACAGCAAGTAAATCTTCCCCTTTCTCGCTTTATAGTCTCTTTTTATCTTCATTTCCAAGGAATCACAAAGGGTCCAAAAGCTTGGGCTTGATAGTTCAGCCTGCAGTGATAACTATAAGCACATCACTGTAGGAACAACAGCAAATGAACTAGAAAGACTAGCTGTGAAGCAACACTTGGATCGGAATTGAAAAATTGCAGAGTCTTCCCCAACCCAGTTCAGCACCTTTCAATGTGTTGAGTTACAACCGCACTTGTGACAATCAGTTACTACTGTTGTAAGACAGTTCAAGAATCCACTAATACAGCATCCAAATCAGAAGAAGACCCAGCTTTTACTTAAACATCTCCACTGAAGGCAAATTCATCACTTGCTAAGTCAGCCAGTTCCATGGTTGAACAGCTCTTGCTGTTAGGAAATGATTCCAGATGTCTTACTAACATTTGTTTCCTTGTCATGTGAGCTAATTGTTTCTTGTCCCGTCTTCTGGAGCAACTCTGGTTCATCTTCTGCATGACAGTTTCTGGGTTTTTCTCCCTTTTGGCAGTTTCTACTATGGGAATAAGAAAACTAATCCACTTTTTAGCCCATGGATGTCACTGTAAAAGCTATAAACCTAATTAATTAAACAAATTTATATGCCCACTCAATTCACCCATGGTGAGTCTGGGCAGCTTACATTACTAATCCACAATCAAGCACATACACACAAACACACACATACACAGTTGATGAATACAATCAAACCAGCCACTTGATTGGTTTCATATCAACTTGGGGTCCTCAAGCCTGCTGACCAGGTCTTCAGGGCCTTTCAGAAAAATATCAGGATGGGAGCCAGTCTTTCTATCTCCAGGGGAATGATATATCACAGGGTGGGAGCCACCACAGAGAGGGCCCTTTTTCTTGTTCCCACCAGAAATACTTCCCTAATAGTTGGGACATGCAACATGTCCTGCCTTCCTGCTCTGGTGGACCAGTTTTATACAGTAGATCCACAATTATACATCTGTATAATTTACTTTCATGGTTTTTTTTAATCTTCCCTGATCTATCTAAATAACTGCTCTTTTTCTCCCTTAGACCTAAAGGCACTGCTCTGAGCCATCCCCATGATCCAGAACCATTGATCATTAGGCAGATGGAAGAGGCAGCCCACGTTCCTGAAGAATCTTCTTCTCCCGTGATGGATGCTCAAAGCCTGGATGATTCAGCCTTTTTGGAAAAGACAAAGAACTCCAATGTTTTAACAGTCCCTTACAAGAATGCCATTTGCAAAAGTAACCATCATGTTCCCAGGATTCCCCTGAAACAGAATAAGGGGCTGTACAATCTGGCCCCAAGCTCATGGCAGATGAAGCCACTGTGGATAGTAGCAGGAAGTCCTCATGAAGCCAAGTGGATCCACCACAAGTATCTGTATTGCAATACCAGACCTTGGTAAGGGAAATGGACCAAAAACTTGGCTGTTAACAGATAATGTTGTCTATAGGAAGTAGGACAACATAGCCAACAGCGTTGTTAAAGTATTAGTTATTGAAATCTTCCTCTTCTCCGTTATTAGATCTGACTAAGGGGGTAGCATAACTTTTCTTAGGTTTGCTTCTTTAGATCAGAGTAGAAGCCATTTAGTATTGTTTGCTACTTACTCCATATACAGTATTGGGGTGGTGAATCTGGTCCTCTAGAACAGGGGTAGGCAACCTTGGCTATTTTATGACTCGTGGACTTCAACTCCCAGAATTCCTGAGCCAGCCATGCTGAGGGGAAAGGGAGAGGCTTCCAAGCTGAGCCATGCTGGCTCAGGAATTCTGGGAGTTGAAGTCCACGAGTCATAAAAGAGCCAAGGTTGCCTACCCTTGCTCTAGAACAACAGTTCCCAAACTTGGCAACTTTCCAAGGCAGCTATGTTGGCTGGCCAATTTTGGGAATTGAAGGCCACACATCTTAAAAGTTGCCAAGATCGGGAAGCCCTGCTCTAGATGATGTTAAAGTACAACTGACAGCAGCTCCAGTTAACATAGTCAATGATGAAGGGTCCAGGAGTTGTAACTCAAGAGACCTTCTCACATCTGCCTGTATTTTAAAGGTACGGTCTTGTTTGCTTTATGCTAGTTTTTTTTTTAAAATTTGAAATCCTTCTCATTTCTTCTTTGCAACTGGAAGTTCGTTTAATTAGCTTTTACTGTATCTGAAATTGTATTTGAAATTCCTCCCCCCCCCTACCTTTCTTTCAAAATTTGTGATCCAAATAGAGGACTCCAAATGAGAATGAAAGCAGAACAGATTTATTAGATCATCATATGCTGTAAACGTGGGAATTTGACCCACCTGGAAACTTGAATGCAGATTTAAAACATTGTTTAAAATGTGATAGAACTGAATTAAGTTATCTTCACTTGGAGATACTGTGCCATGCTGACTTTACTTAAATGTTAGGAAAGGACAGGCTAGAGTCCTGTGCTTTTGTCTTGACAAATAAGAAAATGTTGGAAGGGATATGTGCAATAAAAATATCCAATTTAATCAAAATGGATTTAGCACTTTGGGGTCGAAATTCAGATCTCATTCTAGTTTAGTTTATTTTAATTCTCAATTACACGATGTAGTTGGAAAAGGTTGTTTGAAATAAAACTGGCATTTCTCATTCTTTGTTGATCCTTGTCAGGTCCCTTTAACTAACAAGAGATTTAATAGTAGATGATAGGACAAAATATGATTATGGGGAAGGCAAGTGTTTTTTTTTAATTTAGGTATGTGTGAAACATGAAAGTTTATTGTATATTTGATGATTTAGAACAGTGGTTCTCAACCTGTGGGTCGGGACCCCATTTGGGGTCGAACGACCATTTCACGGGGGTCGCCAAACAACGCAGTCCGCCATTTTTTTCCCCTTTTCCTTAGCTGTGCTACTCCCTTTTATTCTATTGGCTTTTGAAAGCCAATAGAATAGACTCTCTTGAATAGAGTCTAATTCTATTGGCTTTCAAAAGCCAATAGGAATTGTCCAGGCTGTCTCTGCCCTGCTGAGCCCGCCAAAAGTCCCATTCTGCAAACGGTGCTGCACCAGTTGAGTAGTCCTCGACTTACAACCGGTTGAATAGTCCTCGACTTACGACCGGTTGGGGGGTCGTGACATTAAAAAGGTTGAGAACCACTGATTTAGAAGAAGCACATTAAGAGAACAGACATGAATTAGGGATTGTTCTCCATGGAGTTGAAAGTTGATTGCTGCGATAAGAGAGTATAGGGTGGACATGAAGCATGAGTAAAGAATGAATGGTGTGCTTAGCAAATGATTCAGTTGAAGCAGGACTAAAATTACGAAGCGTAATAATGCCCTTTTATTTGTTTAATGTATTAATGCAGGGGTGTCAAACTCGCAACGACACGTATCGGCAATGGGGTGGGCGTGGTTTTGCTATGATGCATCTGGCCTGCGGACCAGCAGTTTGACACCCTTGTATTAATGGGTGAATGTATTAGGAATACCTTGTAGTAATATTAGAGATGCGTTAGGGTCATCAAAATGTGTGTGTGTATACACACCCACCCACATAGATGTCCCTAACTAATGCATTATATACACGCACATTTTTGTATATAGTTACACTTATTTTAAAGACCAAAATATTGAATACAATACAATTCAGCCAAATTAAAAAAAAAGAGGGGGGGGGGGAAGGCCAGAGAATTAATACAGTTTGCAGACTGGTGGTGAACCTATGGCACGGGTGCCAGAGGTGGCATTTGGAGCCTTCTCTGTGGGCACACATGCCGTTGCCCCAGCCTCGCATGACCCCCTCCTCACCAGCAGCCCCCCCGGAGGAGAGTTGCCCCCGAGTGTGGCCCACATGGAGCAGCGCAGCCAAGGACATGGCAACCAGGCAGCATAGAAAAGACTCTGCCCTCATGCCCCATCCCGCATAGTTGATGCTGCGGGGCGCGGGCAGAGGGCGTGGCCATGGTGCTGCTGGGCTGCCTGGGTGATCTGTGGTGGGCCCTGGAGGCGGTGAGTGGCCCTGCAGGCAGGTGGGGTGGGGGACGGGGTGGGGGCAGGGCAGGGGGTGGAGCAGGGACGGGGCCAGTTTTGGGGCACTCGGTCTCTAAAAGGTTCGCCATCACTGGTCTAAGCAGAACTAAATCAGCCAACCAAGATTGCCAGTAGTAAATCCAAATCTTTCTCAAGTTAATCATAAACAAAATCTGGTGATCTCCCTAGATATTTCTTTAATGGGACCATAACTATCTCAGTTTGGTCACCTTGATAATATAATGTTTGTTTTATTACTTTTAACCTTTTAAGCTGCTCAGAATCTTTTGACAAGCGGTCAGTCTGAAATGGTGCTAAATGAATGAATAAGTAGGCTTTTTTCTAGTAACAAAAATAGAGAGTTCTCACCAGATCGGTCACAATGGAAAATTAATAGGTTGCAACCATTGACAAAAATAATAATGCACTAGTGTTTGCAAATTCTCTTGACCACGCCTTTGCAGCCCGGGCAATCTTGTGGGAGTATATTAACCATCAGTGGCAGTATATTAACCATTAGTGGCAAGGCAGTTCTTTTTTTTATGGGACAGAAAGGATATTATAATTAAGTATGGAGAGAGGTCTACCACAAAGATCACCATTGTTGTTAACCCTACGCAGCTCCAAATCAAGGGCTCACGGCTTAATTTCCAGGATGACACTCTCGTGCTCTGTCCTCAGCAAAAATTTGGTTTTTTAAAGGAAACTTGTGCTTTCTTTTAAAGAAGAGACAAATTTATCAGCTAGAATTTTTTTTGAAAAATGATGGATGACTTCAGCCAAAAGCGTTGTGTTTTGTCAAAGAACACAGTCTCAAAATTCCAAATGTAGTCTTTTGAGTCTTCAGAAAGGGGACAAAGGTTAGCAGAGATTGCAGCAAAAATTCTATGTGAAGAGTAGATGACAGGAAACATTCTGGCGAATAGCTATACAGGTGGTCCTTAACTTAGGATCACAATGGTGACCAGAACTTCCATTGCTAAGAAAAGCAGTTACGTGAGTCATGCCCAATTTTATAATCTTTTTAGCTGTGGTCATTAAGTAAATCACACAGTTGTTAAGCAAAAAGTATTTCCGTTGATTTTGTTTGTCAGAAGCTGGCTGGGAAAGTTGCAAATGGAATCAAATGATCCTGGGATACTGCAACCATCATAAATGCATGCCAATTGCCAGGTGCCATAATTTGATAATGTGACTGCAGTGCTCATAAGTGCAAGAACCAGTTGTAAGTCTCCTTTTTCAGCACCATTGTAACTTTGAATAGTCACTCCCATCCTGTTCTATTCATGTTGGAAGCATCTAATGCAGTGGTGGCGAACCTATGGTACGCGTGCCAGAGGTGGCACTCAGAGCCCTCTCTGTGGGCACGCGCATCCTCGCTCTAGCCCCACCTCCCCCCATGGCCCCCTCACCAGCAGACCCCCCCAGAGGAGAGTCACCTACGGGCACAGCCCATGCAGAGCAGCGCAGGCAAGGACATGGCAGCCAGGCAGCAGGGACAACTCTGTCCTTGCACCCCGTCGCGTACAGATGATGCTGTGGGGTGTGGGTGGAGGGCGTGGCCATCATGGCACTGCAGCGCCACATGGGTAATCTGCTGCAGTGGGTTGTGGAGGCAGTGGGTGGCCCTATGGGTGACCAGGGGTGGATGGCGGGGCGGTTTTTGGGCACTTGGTCTCTAAAAGGTTCGCCATCACTGATCTAATGCACTTCTGAGTTGAAAGGATTAGCCAGTGACACCACTTTGCCAGGGGGATGCCCAGTTAAGGGGTTCTTTTATGGTCCCGTTAATGTGCTCACCGAAGTGGTACCTATCTATCTACTTGTGATTGCTCACTTTCAAACTGCTAGGTCAGCAGGAGCTGGAGCAGATGACGGGAGCTCACCCCCTCCACACAGCAGCACTCGGGTCTGGAATATGGGCTTGCTGATTGTCAACCCAGCATCCTAACTATGTGAGCCACTGTGCTCCTTGAACAGTCACCAAACGAACTGTTGTAAGTTGAGGATTACAGGTAATACACTTTTGGGAATGAGCAAACCCTCCCTCCCCCATCCATTGTTGCAATGTATTCTCATACTTTCCAAAAGGTTGTGTATACCTTTCAAATTTTCCATGCATCTGATTACAGATGCTTGTTTCATACCAGACTGAGTTTAAGAACCTGGGGCGCAGGAGAGGGAGGGAGGGCAGGAGTTATGGCTATTTCAAAGCAGTGTAAGGAAAAAGGAAGCTGTATTTTGCCTGCCTTTGAGCCAATCACTCTATTTTTTCTATCTACATCCAAAATATTTATTACATTTACACCAACCCTCAATCAGAATAGCCCCACAGCCATTTATAAATAAAATGAAAACAGTAGAAATTAAAAATGAATAGCAAAACAAAACCAGACTGCCCAAATCCAATGATCAATTAAAATAAAAAAAGGATTTTACAGGTAGTCCTCAACTTACAACAGTTCATTTAGTGACTGTTCAAAGTTACAATGGCACTGAAAAAAGTGACTTATAACCATTTTTTAGTTACACCTTTTGCACCATTCCCCACGATCATGTGATCAAAATTCAGATGCTTGACAACTGATTCATGCTTATGACCGTTGCCATGCTCCAAGGTCATGTGATCCCCTTTTGCAACTTTTTAACAAGCCAAGTCAATGGGGAAGCCAGATTCACTTAACAACACTGTTAGTACCTTAACAAGAAAGATCGTAAAGTTCATTCAACATCTCATTTAGCAACAGAAATGTTGAGCTCAATTGTGGTCGTAAGTTGAGGATTATCTAAATTGTAGAATGGCTTGGTGTTGAAGGAAAAGTCTTCATCATGGTTCAGTCCAAGCCGGGAATAAACTACATGGCGACTGCTTTAGAAAGAAGGTTGCAGTTTATTGAAGAGGAGAGCCAGACAGAAAGATGGCTCTGGAAGAAAAGAGGAGTGAGCACCTGTAGGGAGTGGGTTTTTATACCCTCTGGAGCCTTTTGTTTGGAGTTGTTCCTGTGGCATGAACTTTGACCTGAGTCTGAGTGTGCCTTTCTGGTATTCTGACGGTGGCGGGTTAATCCTATTATGTCCCAAAGGTCATATCCTGCTCCCCTGGGACTGTGGCTGATGACTCTTAGATTTTTGGTGTGAGGGGTTGTTGATTCTAGGGATCTTTCTTCCTAATCCCAGTTTCCTGACTCCAGTCTTTCTGACAAGATTATCACATCTGCATATCTGCAGACTTGGTTTCTGTTTGGGACAGAGAGACTTTGGGGGGGGGGGTGTTCTGCCTTTAAATCCTTTAGGGAAATATATTCTGTCTTTTAAATATTTCCAAAAATATTTCTTTCTGGGGAGAGGGTGACTTCCCACACTAGGAAACAACTTGGTCCTTCGGATCCTCCTGAATGCCATCCACAAGGGCATCACTGATTCAATCATCACTGAAGCAACCTGAAGGTTTTTGCAGTACAGTACACAAATATTCCAAGGTTGAAAAAGAACAGGATTTGAAATGTTCACTCGCTAAAAGTATAGCCCAGAAGAACTAGGAGAAAATTGAGGGAATGTAATGGAATATGATGGGGGGGGGAAACACCACTGGGTGCCTTTCCACACGGGGTGACATTTCCTTGCAAGCTCCACGTGTAATCCCAGCGCGCTCGCTGCCCGTCCGGAGAACTCCCTCAATTAGAGCCAAGAACCGGAAGTCTTGCTGGGAAAAAGCAGCAGGACGGCCGACGGGCGCCCTGGCCGACCTTCTCAGTGCGCAGGCGCGCTGAAGAGGCGTCGCTGGGCTCGCCAAGTTCACGCCGGGTCTGCGGCTGGCGTACCATTTCCTCCTTCGGTCAAGGAGACTAGAGACGTGCGCCTGCGCAATAGTTAGCGCAAGCGTCGTGCCTTGAAGCCGGTTGAAGTGGCGGCGGGGTTCGCTGCTCGGGGCTCGCGGGCCGGGGGAGGGGGGAGCGCGGCGAGGAAGAAGGCCGCCTCGCGCGCGCGCCATGTACCAGCGGAGCCCGAAGGCGGCCCTGCGCGTGGGGGCCCGCTGCTCCTGGCGGTGGGACGGCGGCACCAGCCCGTTCCGCCTGGGCCAGGGCGAGTCGGCGCGCTGGTGCCACCCGGTGCGGTTGCGGCAGCGGGTGAGTGAAAGGCGGCGGACGGGCGTGGCCGGGCATCCCCAGCTGCTCGCGGGAAAGAGGAGGCAAAAGCAGGGAGCAAGCTTGTTGGAAAGCGGGGGGGGGGGGCAATGGATCGGCAGACCGCGGAGAAGACAGAAGCAATTGGATCCGTTTAGGCTGAGATCGCGGATCAGTCACCTTTGCAGATCTCCCTTGCGGGGGATCGGCGGTGCTGGGCTGGACAAAACCTTGGTTGGACCCGGTTAGAATTGCCGGGTTGAACGGAGGAGGATTATAACACGGTTGATATTAGCTGGTTTTCTAAGGTTTGCCTGTGACTTCACTCCTCCTCCGGTGCTTCTCCAGTGACAGCTCGCTCGGCTGATCAGTCGAGGCTCTGCTGCCTCTGCAGGGATGTGTAACCTGCGGGTAAAAGCGGGGTTTTATCTACCGCTTGAAAATCTTAGGAGGTGTGGCTGGCAGCCTTTCCAAAAGTTGCTACTCGGTTGTTGATGTGACCCGAGGGGCAGGGATTAAATCCCGGCATAATACAGGATTAGCTGCATTGAATGAAATTAGTTTTAGTCTTGCAGTATGGCCGCTTATATGCCATTTAAAGATCAGAGATAGAAGAAGAAGAAAAGATGGGGGGGGCAAGGTCTTGCATTGGAATGTATGAGATGTGTTTGAATATTAGTATTGTATTTCATTCCCGTTTCTAGTCAAATCAGCATATGAGTTATAAACCTCAGTCTGTACTTGCTTTGCCTGCTCTAAGGTTATTATTATTTTTTTTGGCCTGCAAAAGGATTGCTGGGTTCTTGTCTTATATTAGATTTGACCTTCATTTTCATGAGCCAAGTTTACAATCTTTTTTTATTTTATTTTATCCTGTACCATGCAGAAATGTTATAGCTTTGACACCCCATAGTTCCAAGAAGATTTCTTATCTCAAAGTAGAGTAAATTATGGCCTGTAACTTATCTTGTGGTTGGTCCTTAATAAACAAAAAAATAAAAACCAAACAACCAAACGGGATGTATTTAAATATCAAAGATTTTTCTTAAATTATCCAAATTCTGTTCTGTAAAAGAATGAGTTCTGTGCTCAGCAGGCATTACTGAGATAAAAGCACACTTCCTTTTCCGTGAAAAAGGCTTGTCAAGGTGCAGATCTATCAGGTGAGATCAGACAGCCCAGAGATAATAAGCTGAGGGAAATGCTGCTTCCGCCTTTCCGGAACGCCAAGGACTGAATATGTTTTTTTATCATTAGGTTCATTATTCTGAAATCTCTCTCCCTTTTTTTTTTTTTTTTAAAGGATGTGGCTGCCTCCTCGGATAAATTACCTCCTGAGCTTGTCTCTTCCACATCAGTAAGACTGACTTTTCACTCCCTATTCTCTAAGAAGCTGACAGAAGCTGCCCCTCGCCATCCGGCTCTGCCTCAACCTTCTGTAGAAAACTGTACTGTAATCAATTATGGACTGAAATTCAGCAGCCCGGAGACTAGGCCCCTTTTCCAGCCAACTGTTCCCTCCCCTCCTGAAAGCATGGAAGATGCCATCATTTTGGAGAATGGGAGGCGAGAGGATAATCTAAGGGTACGACCTAGAGAAGGACTGAACAGTACTTCTTTAGACTCTTTGTATAATCTCTTTCATGGCTGGCCGTTGCCATCACCTTACCAGACGCCTGAGGCAGCACCCGCATCCCTCGCGCCTTTCCGAGCCACATCTGGGGCTCCCTCCCCGGTCACTTCTCCTACCAGTAATAACCGCGACATGGAGGAGCATCTCGAAGTCATGCAGCAGAAATTACGGGAAGAGGTACTCACGTTGCTATTTTGCTACTTGGGGAACTCGCTTTCTTTTCCGTTGTAGAATGGTAGGGCTGGCTGGGAGACTACATGATTGTGAACTTGGCATTGGATAAAAGACTTGTGTGTGAGAGAGAAAGAGACAGTTTTGTCAAGTGTAGCTTGGGAAAAAAAGAGAGCTGGGGTTTGAAAAGTGCTCAGTGGTCCATTGTTCGTTCTGTGGTTCAAGCAACTCCTAAGAAAGAAGAGATCTTTTCTGATCTCATCTGTTCATATATACCAGTGATGGCGAACCTTTTAGAGACCAAATGCCCCCAAACCGCCCCCCTGCTCTGCCTCCCGCCCTGCCTACCCGCCCAGCCGCAGGGCCATGCACCGCCTCCATGGCCCACAGCAACAGATCGCCCAGGCAGCCCTGCAGCACCATGGCAGCCACACCCTCCGCCCGCACCCTGCAGCATCATCTGCACACTATGGGGCGCCAGGGCGGAGTCTTGTCCCTGCTGCCCGGCTATGTCCTTGGCTGCGCTGCTCCTTGCGGGCCATGCCTGGGGGCAACTCTCCTCCAGGAGGGCTGCTGGTGAGGAGGGGGCCGCAGGGGGAGGCGGGGCTAGGGTGACGGTGTGCATGCCCACAGAGAGGGCTCCAAGTGCCTTAGGTTCGCCACCACTGATACATACTATTAATTACTCTTTCTTATATAAGTTACGTGTTAACAGCCAGGAATGGAAAACTACATATTTTAAGTACATTACAATAAGATATGATATTTAGAGTACCTAGTAAATGCGTTCAATAAATTGTTGGTAAGTATTTAATGATGAATTCCTTCTCTGCAGTGCTGTTGTTTTTTAAAATGTGATATCATCCTTTCTTTTTATGTATTCAAATTGTGTACTGGCTTGGTCAATTACTCTGCTACCTCAGGATACAACATGTGAGTTAGTTATAATAGATCTCAAAATCCTAACATCTTTTGGGATGCCTTTATGGGCAACTACATATCTTAATGTTTTGCTTTGGACTGGTAAAAGAAGCTCTACAGTATTAGGAATCCTCACTATCATAAATTGGAATAATCTTTAAAGGAACAACAGAATGTTTGTCTTGTGGCCTGTTTAGCCTTTTGTTGCAGTTTGTAGGATAGCACCAATATGGGTTTTTTTTAAAATTGTAGCACACCTGCATTTCTTAATTATCGGAGAAAGATTAACAATTTTTGCTTTGTAATTGCTTGTTCAATATTTGTAATTTGCAGTAATCCTCTTTGAGTTTTTGAGGTTATAGTGCTGTTCATTGTAATATTTTATAGAAAGTGACTAAGACAATTATTTGAGGAGGCAGTGCTAAACCATGCTAAAAGTCTTGACTTCTATAATCTGCAGGTAAAAGGATAACAAAGCAGATGCTTATGTGTTTATTAATGTAAAGAATATTTGACTTCATAGATTAATAGTTCAATGTGTTGTAAAGCAGCTTTGTGTATCTGAAACACCTACGTTATTTTATAGATCAGCGGTTCTCAACGTTTGTGTGACGGCGATCCCCGTCACACAAACGTTATGCGCATGCATGGCGCGGCGTGCATGGGGGCAAGGCCCCCACGCGCGGCGCGCATACGCAGCGCCGTCCCCATGCGCAGCGCGCATGCGCAGCGCCACCTCAGAGGCGCGCCGCCCCCCCATGCGCGGTGCGCGTGTGTGGCGCCGCCCCCCGGAGGGGACAAAATGGCGGATCACCGCCTTTGGCGACCCGCAAAAAGTGGTCGATCGACCCCAACTGGGGTCGCGACCCATAGGTTGAGAACCGCTGTTATAGATGGAATAGGAGGGCTAAAAATAGATTGCACTGTATTTGAAAGCTTGCAGAAACAGGATTTATCTTAAAAAGAGTTTAGTTTCAGTCTTTTCTGCAAGCAGGTTGAAATTTTGGTTTCCAAAAAAATTCCCAAAGAGTCTTGATTTACACACTTTTATATTCCACCCGTTTCCACAATAGTGAACAATTATTTGTGCAGTTCTAGGGGCTGATGCATGCACTTGAGGTAAGCATGTAGGATTCCAGCATGTTTTATTAACTAATTATTGATACAACACACATTCATGAATAAAAATAAGATTGTGAAATCTGAACTCCTATTCAGGGAAAGTTGAGGCATTAGAATTTAGAAAATAGTAGTTTTTGTCTATACTGGACACAATATAGGCAGAAAACTCTCAAAGCAAAATATTGCCAATGTACTGCTGAGAATGTGTGAGCTATAAATTCCTCACTTTGGTTTGCTCTTCTCTCTCCCATCCCTCCAGTTACCAGCCTTTTTTTTGAAGTCTCATGATTATGAAATGTATTCCCAGGACGTAGAATTCATCAATGAGATTCTGCATATGAAAACACGGTCAGTCTTGAATCAGCGAGGGAAGGTGGGAAGTTACCTGAGGGCTGTCCTTTGATGGATGAGAAAGGTTCCATAATATGTTTAGGATTATACAGAGGAATGCCGTCTACACTTACATAAGAGATCTAACCATTGGAGAGCTGGGCAATTTTTTTCCCTCATGAAACGTTTCTCAAATTTAATTTCAATTTATTGTTGGACCTTGGTCTTAGAAAACAGGAAACTATGACCAGTGTATCTGATCCGCAAAGAAAAATCTTTGCAAAACACACCAGTCATGAGAGAAGGTCATAACTTGCCCTCTTTTCAATATATGTATTTTATTTATTAAATGTGTACGGTATTCTCCTCCCGCACTCCCATTACCCATAGTTGGGGGGGGAGAGTTCTTGTACACCATCTAGCCCTCTCCCCATTTATGGGGACAATTATTAGTAATCATATCCTATATAGCAAGGAAGGTGTATAATTTTTAATAATAAATTATACAATTCCTTGGCTATATAAAATATGATTATTAGCAATTGGCATGACAGGAGGGGCAAAAGACCCATCAAGGAAGCATCTGGAATTGGTTTCATAGATTCTGAATGATTCTAATTGAATTCTTGGTAACCCTATCCAATAAAGCAACTACCTTATCTAATTAGTGATTTCATGAATAGCACTGACACTAAAAGAAAACCTGCTAATTTCCCCTCATTCATTTAAGAGCATATTGTAGGAGGCAGCTGCATAAACCAAAAGTCTCGGCCCATCACTTTGTACTGATGTGGCATTTTGTCAGTTGCTAGAATACCTACTGAGCTCGCTGCTTTATAGTTTTTCTGACAAGTAGCTTAAGGACTTTTAAAAGCTGCCGCACTCCCCATTTTATTAATAGTAAGGCTTGTATTGTCATCTATTTGATTCATTAAAGCTGCCTCCTCTTTTCCCAATATAACTGATTTCTAAAGTTTAAGAGCAGCCCCCCCCCCAACCTTTTGAGTACCAGGGCCAGTTCCCTGGAAAGAGGTTTTTCCATGGACCGGAAGGGGCGTGGTTTTGCACGCTGCCTGCATCTTGCGGATGGGGCTTCGCTTGTTTGTGTGGCCTGGTTGCTGGCATGCCGCAGCCTGGTGCTGATCCAGAGACCTGGGGTTGGGGACCCCTGGTTTAAAAGTACATAAATGATTTGTGGACTATCCAACATTTCAGGTTCAGTATCAAAAAACTGCTTTGGAGAAGGTAGGAGCACAATCCTTGTGCCTGGCCAATATCCTATTAAAACAGCCGTTATTTTTCTTGAGATCATTGGAAATTGTCACATGATCCCGAGAAAAGATGAAGCGGCTTTAAGATGTCGCAGACAGATGTGCTGTTTGTGTTTCCAAGGATTTTGGGGGGAATGAAACACAGCGCTCATCTACAGGAATCTGTACTACCAGTGTAGATATAGATTTTATTGTAGTCATTGATGCCCGTTGAAGGCAAAGATTCAGTCTTCCTGTCCAAAGGCTGTGGCTGCAACTAGGCCACTCTTATGTCTCAGAAGGAAATACAAGAAGTCCTCATTTAGTGACCATAGTTGGGGCCCACAACTTGGTCCTTAAGCAAACTGGTTGCTAAGTGAATCTGCAAACTGTGCTTTCCTTTGCAGGAAACCACATCTTCAGCTTTCCTTTACAGACCTGGACAGTTATGAATGTGAGGATAGGTCACAAAGCTTCTTTTTCATCACTGTCATAACTGAGAATGGTTGCTAAACAAGGAAGTCTGTAAATGAGGACTGCCTTTACTACACTTAGATGGAATCTTTTTCTAGTCAGAGACAGGTACTCAAGATGGGTTATTTTGATTTAGGTAGTTCTCTTATAGATAGTCCTTGACTTATGCCCAGTTGCTTAGCGACTGTTCGAAATTAACAGTGTCCCTCCCCCTGGTGTGTTTTACGTTTTGCTGAAAACTGCCCATAGTGCACAATTGATTCACTGAGTGACTGCAGCATTTGCTTTATGACCGCTACAAAAAAGGATTGTAAAATTTGTAAGTTGTCAGTTGTAAGTCGAGGACTACCTGTAGTCCAGGGGTCCCCCAACCTCTGGGTCACGGTCCTCTAGTGCAGTGGTTCTTAACCTTTTTGACCAAATTGCCCCCTTGAGCCAGTGAGGAAGTTGTCATCACCCCCCTCCCCCAACATAACCTCACAACATAGGAAATAATTCTTCAATTTATGCAAACACTTTTTTTGTTTTCTTTAAAATTGTCATCAGGACATATCGATACAAATAGTTTATTTCCAGTCTTTTTCCCATATCTCAACTGTATGAAAAATTTTGGTGCCACCTGTCACTTTATTCCCAAACTTCATGATATATGTATTTCATTATTATCTTATTTATTCAAGACACTTAAATGTAATGACCATTGAAAATAAAATTCAATTGCAAGATGGTGAAATGCCCGAAAAGAAAAACAGTAACATTTAATGATTGAATTACAAGTGAAATTTAAGACGCAAAAAGAAATATAAAAAGGGCATAAGAACAAACCGCAATACAGGACCTAAGAATTTCAAGACAAAAATTCTGAAACTAAATTAAGATTTGAGGAAAGTATATATAGTCACGCACACTGTAAAAAGGATTAAAAAGACAGAAAGAAAATATAATATCAAACTGGAGTGCATGCTAAAAAAGTACAATACAAAGAGACACACAAAATGTTTTACAGAGCACAACAAAAATTAGAAAACGAAGCTGAAAACTCAAACTGTGACGTCAACATTACAGCTGACGTCACAGGGGACAGCCACTCAGCATGTGATGTTTCGAAAGAAGCGCTCCCCCCTCCATCACTGCCCATTCTGGCCAATGGCGCGCCACTGTATGGGTAGAGGCTGCTGCGCAATGCGCATGAATATAAGCGATGCGTATTCACATATGTACTGAAGCTAGCTGGAGGAACATTTGAAAACACAATTCAATCCACTAATAGCGAGCGATCTGATGTTTTTGTACGGCAGATATACAGCGATTCACTGTACAAAAAAGTCCCAAAACTTCTCGCTCCATCGCCCCCATATTGCCCCCTTTTCATTCCTTCGCCCCCGCATCGCCCCTTTTTGTTCCATCGCCCCCCGAAAAATGAAATCGCCCCCTGGGGGGCAATATCGCCCAGGTTAAGAACCACTGCTCTAGTGGGCTGTGAGGTGTTTGCAACCAGGCCACGGAAACGGGCGAGCACGCACACACACATCCTCACTTGCGCAAACAGCGGGCAAGTATGTGCATGTGCACTCCAATTTGCGTGAGCGGCAGGCGTGCATGGATGCCACTCACGCAAATGGGGCTGTGCTCATGAGCGCTTGCTGGCTGCTCGCGCAGAACCATCTTCTCTCTCCCTCCCTCCCTCCTCCCCCCCCCCAGCAAGTCCGCAAAGCCGGAAAGGTTAGGAACTCTACTATAGTCATCTGTCTTACATGGGACAAGATGAGAAATAGATGTATGAGACATCATTCCATGTGTATGGGAAATCCACTGTGAGAGAATTATTTAAACATGCATTGAGGTACATAGATAAGGAAGCGCAGGTAGTCCTCGAGTTAACAACAGTTTGTTTAGAGACCAAGTTGCAATGGGACTGAAAACAGTGGCTTATAAACAGTTTTCACACATGGTCATGTGATCAAAATTCAGACGCTTGGCAACTGACTCATATTTCCGACGGTCACAGTGTCCCAGGGTCATGTGATCCCCTTTTGCGACCTTCTGACAAGCAAAGTCAATGGGGAAGCCAGATTCACTTAAGAACCATGTTACTACCTTAACAATTGCAGTGATTCATTTAACAGGTGTGGCAAGACAGGTCGTAAAATGGGGCAAAATTCATTTAACAAATATGACTCATTTAGCAACAGAAATTTTGGGCTCAATTGTGGTCGTATGTTGAGGCCCACCTGTAGCCTTTTCGGCAGTGAGGTGATACAGGAATTCCCTATTCGAACCATTCTCTTCTTATTTCTACCACCAGTGGCCTAACGATATATCGAATGGCGGTTGTGTTGTGCCGTTTTGTGGCCTGGAACTATTTTATTCATATGCACCTTGAGGTGATGAAGGTGACACAACATCCGGAGAACTGGAGCATCCAAGTGCGGTGGCGGATTAGAGGACTGCCTTTCCACATCTTCCTGATGCGTTTCTTCAGGAATAAACCTGAATTTTACAGGTGAGGCGACTCTGATGGGATAGCAATAGTTTGTAGCAGGACTATCAGATTCTGTAATAGCTTTGTTCCCTATGCCATCCATCTGGTAAACTCGCAAGGTTTGTTTCTCTCGCCATGCGCATGTATCCATAACCCGAACTAAACTGTGTTGTTTCTCTGTGTCATATATGTGGGTATATGCATAATTCTGTATTTATTTATTTATTTTTGTCATATTTATGTAGTGTATGTTGGAGTTGGTGACCCTTTGAGAGCTGTATGCAATGGAATTTCATTTTAATGTATGCCGATTAGCGTACTTTCAAAGTGACAATAAAGTTATTATTCTGTTATTCTATTCTATTTCTGTTTCTATTTCTATTCTATTTCTATTCTATTAATTCTAATTCATTCCATTCCTATTCTATTCTTTTCTATTTCTATTCTAATTCATTCCATTCCTATCCTATCCTATCCTACCCTACCCTACCTTACTCTACTCCTTAAGGCTGAAATAGAAAAACAGGCATAGAATGCCCTTATCTTACTTCTGTCTAACCCTTTTCTGAGAGATTTCTCTGTGGAGTCCTTGGTGCTCTCTCAGCTTGGTTGTTTTCTTGCGGATATTTCCACTAGCACTAGCACTGATGATGTTATGTAGTTGGGTAATGAAAGGTCTGCAAGAAAACAGCCAATTTTGAATCCTTCCTTTATATGGTCTGATTTGCTATGCTTATTGGCTTGTGATGTAAGCGCAGTTAAAATTAATCAAGTCTTTTAGGACAGAGTAAAATAACCATTCAAAAATATTATAATTCTATAGCTGTATTTGTCTAAGGCAGTGTTTCCCAGACTTGACAATTTTAAGGCATGTGGACTTCAACTCCCAGAATTCTGGGAGTTGAAGTCCTCATGCCTTAAAATTGTCAAGTTTGGGAAACACTGGTCTAAGGGGATGCCACAATGTGGTCTTGCTTGGTTAATTTTCATTTCATTCCTTTTCCAGAATTTACGATGCCTATTCCACTTTCTTCTTAAACCCACAAGGTTTAATTAAGTGTCACAGAGTAAGCAAGGTGAGTTCCTGAGCGTGAACAGTGTTGCAGGAGATCCTGGTGTGATTCCCAACTGCCCCTCCATGAAAACTTTGCTTAGATCAGTGGTTCTCAACCTATGGGTCGCGACCCCATTTGGGGTCGATCAACCATTTCACGGCGGTCGCCAAGCAAGGCTGTCCGCCATTTTTTCCCCCTTTTCCGACGGGTGCCTTACCTCCCTTGGGCTGGGCCAGCCGGTGGCCCAGCCAGTGGTTGGCCTGTTCTGTCTCTGCCGCTTGTCAGCTACACCTTGGCCAGTGCAGGGGGCGGCACCACGCAGGCACGGTGCTCCCGGGCGGGGAAAGTCCTCGACTTACAACTGGTTGGGTAGTCCTTGACTTACGACTAGTTTAGTCCTCGACTTACGACCGGTTGGGGGTCATGGCATTAAAAAGGTTGAGAACACTGGCTTAGATCTTAGCAAGAAAACAAATCTGTTGAAACGAACTTTTGTGTTTTCTTTCCTTTCAGCTCATGCCCTCCCAGCCACTTCAGAACAAGCTGAAAAACCTTGCCGTAGCCTCTTTGCTGGGCCTGGAGCTATCAGACCAGAGGCCATCACTTTTGCCGTGGCTAGTTAACAGCAAGGGGCATCAAGAGACTGTAGGGGATAGTTAAGCCTTGCCCCTCTTGTCAATACCTCTTTTGGTTCATCTGCCTGTATGGTAAGGAGGATGCCACTGAACAACCCATTGTATAGCTGTGTTTCTTCTGTATAGTGTGGATGTTGCCCCGTGATGGTGCTGTTAATTGCACTAGTAAGTGCTGTAAAGATGATTGCAGTCTAATATTGTACATAATAAAAAAAAAGTTTACGTTGCAAGAATATCTAGTTGTGCATTAGGCTAAAGATACTGCCAGGAGGCCATTAATTTCACCCCCACTCGTCCATAATGAGATCAGAGGCCTGCTGTCCGTAAAACATCTTGATGAAGTCCCTACCCCAAAGCTTTTTTCAAAGACATGAAAAATGCGTAAGCCTAGCTCAGTGATGGTGAACCTTTTAGAGACCGAATGCCCAAACTGCAACCCAAAACCCACTTATTTATCGCCGGGTGCCAGGTGGGCATGGCCCACTGGGTGGGCGTGGCTGGGGTGGTCATGGCAGACTGGGTGGATGTGCCCAAGGTGGACATGGTCACCTCAATGTTGCTTGTGGGGAGGGATGCCTGTGGGGGGTGGGCAGGGTTGGGGGAGATCCAGGGGGTCTCTGGTAGGTGAGGTGGTAGGCGGGAGGCTCATCCTGCGGGGTGAGGCAAGGCAGGGCGGGGGTGCCATTACCATGGGGCAAGGCAAGGGCCAGGGCGGCTGCTGCCTGGCACCATCAGCCCCCGCATACAGAGGCCAGCGAGCGTATGGGGGCAGAGGTATCCATCAGCAGCCACAGCCTACCAGCCCTTTGACCAGCGCAGCCCACAGTCAGCAGTTCAAAGAAGCCGTCTCTGTGATGGATGGCCGGATGACAGCTGAGGAGGCGATGCAGTGGGTTGTGCCCGAGAAAAGGAGAGCATGCAAGGCCAGGAATGACGGAATGGGGGGGGAGGGAGGGAAACCAGACGTGCCGAGATGCATCCGGCCACGTGGGACCTCGGCTGGTTAGCAGGCGGCTGGTTAAAGAGGGACAGTTGCCATCTCCAGGGCATGGCGTGCATGCCCACAGAGAGGGCTCTGAGTGCCACCTCTGGCACACGTGCCATAGGTTCGCCACCACTGGCCTAGCTGGTTTCCTTCGATGGTAGCTCTTGCTATAAAGGCTAGGATGTGAAAGAAGAAATGGAGGATACGTCTCGGAGCGCCATAATGAATCTACGAAGATGTTGACATTAAACGGGATAAAACAAGTCAGCAGGAAAAACGAAAGGAGCAAAAACATAGTGAAAGATTTAGACTGCAAAAATCCAGATGACCACTCCAGGCAGTCCTCAACTTACAAGTTTCTTTAGTGACTGTTCAAAGTTACAACGGCACTGAAAAAAAGGGAATTATGACCATTACAACTGTTGCAGCCTCTCCATGAGCACGGGATCCAAATTCAGATGCTTAGCAACTGAGCCATAACACTTGCGGTGTCCCAGAGTCGTGGGCTCAGCTTTTGCGACCTTCTGACCAGCAAAGTCAATGGGGGTGCCAGATTCACTTAACAACCGTACACTAATTTAACTCTGCAGTGGTTCACTTATCAGCTGGGGCAAGGAAGGTCTTAAAATGGGGCAAAATTCACTTAACAACTGTCACCCTTAGCAACTGAAATTTTGAGCGCGCTTGTCGTCGTTAAGTCGAGGACTACCTATATTGCACAGCAGAGTTTTCTATGTCTTGGTGCTGCGTCCAGCGGTTGCCTGGCTGGCTATTTGCAGTTCAGATCCGATAGCGCTGAAAAGCAGGAAACCATTATTCCCCCAGCATCTTTAATTGTGAACCCTTGAATTCCATGTAAAACTTAACTGCCTTTGGGTCAGTCTTGACTCCGGTCCGTGCACTTTTTTTTTTGGCCAGATTTTTCAGAAGTAGTTTGCCATTGCCACCTTCTTAGGGCACGAGGCACATGCATGGGTAGTGGTAAAGAAGAGCTACGACGGCTCTATTTTCTTAATCTCTCCCGTGCTTCAGTTCCACTTATAGCCCTCGACATACACCCATTCGTTTAGTGCAGGGGTTCTCAACCTTGGCAACTTTAAGACTTGTGGACTTCAACTCCCAGAATTCCTCAGCCAGCAAAGCTGGCTGAGGAATTCTAGAAGTTGAAGTCCACAAGTCCTAAAGTTGCCAAGGTTGAGAACCCCTGGTTTAGTGAACTTTCCAAGTTATACAATGGCACTAAAAGAGATGGCCGTTTTTCACGCTTAACTGTCAAAAGCATCCCCATGGTCATGTGCTCCAAATCTGGGCACTTGGCAACTGACAGGCATTTATGACAGCTGCATTGTTCCAGGGTCATGTGATTGCCACTTGGTAACCTTCCCAGCCAGCTTCCGACAAGCGAAGTCAACAGGGGGAAGAGTTGTTTAATAACCACACGATTCACGTTAATAGCTGTAGCAAAAAATGAGGTGCCACTCACTTGACAACTGCTTCACTTAGCAACAGAAGTTGCTAAGGCTCAGTTGTGGTTGTACGTTGAGAACTAGCTGCATTTTGTTTTCAACATTCTTAAAACGTTCCAATAATAATTTTACATTCAAAATTCCTCCAGAAAGCTACGGCCAGGTTAATTTTGCTGCGTTATAAATCTAATAATCTAATGTCTAAAAGTCTTACTTTTCAGCCAAAAATAAGATTGTCACTTTCAGGCCTTTAAAGCAGGGACCGAAGAGCAGAACTTGTTTTGGTTTGGTGCATAATACCCCTCTATCAAATGCCTCCATCTGAAATGGAAAATTTCCTTCAGTCTGAATTTGTGATACGTGTTGCAGGTAGCATATACTGAAAATATCTGTTTTCCAAAATTATTTTCAGAATATGCTACCTACAACGCGTATTTGTGTACCATTCTATCTTTTGTGTTAGCATCCTTGATCACACAAATCCAGGCTTTGTGAGAGGTGCATGGAGTCAAACGCACGACATACTACATACTGCTTGCTGGTATTCAATTGTTATATGACATGCTGCTGAGATTTATTAAGATTTCTAGCAGCCGTGGGAATGCAGCTTCTCAGCATCATGCATAACTGGTTGTTCTTGCTTATTACCTCCAACAAAATAGAGAAAAATAAAAATACCTATTTGCTTATTTTAGTGGAACTGAAAGGCTTAGCTTGCTGCTGGATTCAAAGTGCCCCAAATAGGTTCAGGTGCCTACTCAGTGATAAAACTTACAGGAAGTCTTTTTGTCAATAATTATATCCCAAATTACAAAAATGAGAGAAAAATCCCACGAATGCCGCATACAAAGACAATGGTGCTACAACATTGTCTTAAAATGTTGAAGATGATTTGAACACTGAAATCTGTCTGTATGCATTCCAGAGCATATTTTTAAAGAAGAAATCGATTTCTTAACACAAAGATTAAACTTGTCTAGAAAGAAAATGCAATAATACAGGGGAGCTTATTTTTTTTAAAAAAGTATTTATTTTATGCCTCTGAGTTAACAGTAAAACTATACAGCTCTACAAAAAAAGTGTCCAAAAGTGCTGCTGAGCACTGGAAAAGTCAGAATTGAAGGCAAGTTCTTCTTTTATCCCAGCTCTTCCCGTGTCTTCCCCATTTTCTTGGGCAGTTTCTTGGCTGAGGCGTCTTCTAGTTCCTTGGCCTTGTAATAGTGAGGGGCCACTTCCAGCAGCCATGTACTGTCAATTTCAATCACCTGCAGAAAACACAAGAGCAACTCCAGCTAGCTTCCTTCTGATTTCAGCACTGCCTCTGGATACGCAGATACATATTTAGATAGATGATAGATAGATAGATAGATGATAGACAGACAGACAGATTGATAGACAGATACATACAGATGATAGAAGATAAATAGATACATATATATGATAGATATGATATGATATATGATATTATAGGCAGGCAGGCAGATGGCTGGATGGATGATAGCTATTTCATATTCCTAACTACCCATCTCCCTTGAAAAGGGGCTCAGGGCAGTGTGCAATATCAACAAAATTAAATATTAAAACCAGAATAATTTGGGATTAAAATTTTTATAATTATAAACACAACATTATAAAAGTTTCCAAAGGTGAAAAATTCCAAGATGGGGAGGTAGTAGTTAATACAGGTGGCGGGAGGGGTGTGTGTGTTTCTCATGAGGCCAGCCAGTCCTATGGTTATATGAATCTTTATGCCCTCGCCCCCCCCCCCATGCAAGGGCGCAGAGCCATGTTTTGACCCTTCGCGGAAGGTCAAAAATTGGGCGGCCTTCCTCACCTCTGAGGGCACGATGTTCCACAATACAGGGGCAGCGGCAGAGAAAGCCCTCTTCCCAGCTCCTGCTAGTCTAAATTCTTTGACTGATAGGGTTTTTAGCATGCCTTCCCTGTTTGAATGGGCAGGATGGGCTGATGTAATGGGGCAAAGCTGATTCCCTAGCCAGTTTGATCTGCATATCGGCTAGGTCAAAGGGCGATGGAAATGCAAGCGTGATGCATCAGATGTAAGAATAAAGGTAACTGAACTGGCTGTAAAGGAAATCCAAACTGCTGTTCCACAAAAGTCCCACTAATACCTAATTATTAAATCTCTCTTCCATCTCTTTTAATCGTTTAATCCACTAATGAGAAGTCACCTCTGCCTTTACTACTGCAGCAATAACAAGGTGAAGTGTATATAAAATACTGAGTTCGACCAGAATAGAACAGGCAGCTAAAACCATTGGAAAGGCAGAGAGCAAATTAATTTCATATTACACAAATCTCTTGTTTGACACTTCAGTAGGAAGCCTACAGTAAAATGCTACAAATTCACAAGCAAAGGATTCAGCTCCTCCTCTATTTCAATTGTCAAAAACTGATATTTTCTAATGCTTAAAGGCAACATTTTTAATTGACCTAAAGCATCTGCTACATTCACACATAGGTTTTCCTTTGAGCACAGGGTAACACTTTATCTCTGAGGAGAAGTTTTTTTTCTTCAGAAGATTCAGAAGTGCATGCAGGTGTTTTAACTCACCTGTCTCATGAATTCCTTAGTGGTGAAGACCAGCTCGTGATAAATGAGCCAGCGGGGCTGCTCTTCAAACAAGGAGCTGTTGGGATGGATATACACTGTTTGCTGATGCTTGACTGTTTTGTAACCGCTGCGGGTTAGCCGCGCAGTGTGATAAAAGAAACCAGCCGTTATGGCCTACAGAAACAGAGCAGGAAGAGACAAAAGTGAGGCAGGCAATGAAAGAAATGGTATTGGTGGCTGAAATTACAGATTTGTTAAATCATAAATGGTTTTCATTTCTGCTTAGCATTTGGTGCGAATCTATCCAATATGGCTTATAAGCGACCAGGTTAGTATTATTTGTTCAATAAACCATGATTAATACATTTAAATTGGATTCAGACTTATGAAGCAATGTGTGGAAACCAGTGGAGCCTAAATTAGTCACTACCAACTTTCAGTTTCAAAGGTTCTACTCTAAATCTGGATGTAACTCACTGTGTGGTAATTTAAATAACACAAAATAAGCTATTTTTTATAGCCTCTAGATCAGTGGTTCTCAACCTTTCTAATGCCGCGACCCCATAATATAGTTCCCCATGTTGTGGTGACCCCCAACCACTTATAGATCACCAGGTGCCAGGGGTGTGGCCAAAGAAAAGGGGAAAAAAATGGCAGACAGCCTTGTTTGGCGACCCCCATGAAATGGTCGTTCGACCCCAAATGGGGTCCCGACCCACAGGTTGAGAACCACTGCTCTAGATTAAATAATGGATGAAAAGCAGTTTAAAAAAATACTATCAATAAATAAACATTCAAAAAGTACCTTCTGCAAATATAGAAATTACTGGCTCTTATTTTTTAAAAAATGTGATTATCTGTATGAAAGTTTCTAAATTAGGTGGATATACCAAATACATATATTGTCTCAAGAAACTTTGGCCCCTCATGGAAATCCAGAGCAGAAGAAAATAACAGGGATAGGGGGCTTCTACCTTGCGGATAGGAATGTAGTCCCCTTCGCTGGAAGTTATATCCACCTCAATGCGTTCCATCAACCCTTCCAGCTGTTCTCGCACATCTCGAGCTCGCCTCATAGAACGAAACTGGATGAAATTCTCATAGCACCACTGCATGGAGTAACCACTTTCCACCCACTAAGGGAGAAGGGGAAGAATTAATAGAAACCAAAGCCTTGCTAGGATTTTAAGTGAGGAATGCCATCCACCCAGTGACTTGACTACAGTAATGAGTACAAGTAGTCCTCAACTTACGATCGTAATGGAGCCTGCCCATTACAGTCAGAAGTCATGACAGACCTTAAGTGAAGCATGTCACTTAACAATCCCCACCCCTGTTCTCCCAATGTGGTCGTTAAATGAAAGCACAAGCCGTTAAGTGGAGCATGGGATGCCTCAGGTGAGGGAGGCCTAGTGCAGGCCCTGCTTTGGGTCTCTCACCTCCCTCATCGCCTAGGCCTAACATCTAACACTTCAATGGGTCCCACACTTTCTCTACTATTAATAACCGATCTACACCAGCTATTGTCCTCAATCCCAGAAAACATTCTTTTTTACTTTGTTCCTCTGAGAGTAGAACCTAATGCCATACGAGCTTTGGAAAATCCCGCACTAATATCCTAGAACTACTATAAAACACACACAGAAGAAGCAATCATTAATTGCCATTGTTTGAATGACCTCTGCAATAAAAAAGCATTCAATGGAAGAGAATATAATTTCCCAACTACATAACATCATCAGTTCTAGAAAGGAGTGGGGTTTCCCTTGTTTATACAGTAGCTTGCCCTGCCAGTTTTGATGGTGGGATGGTTTTCTCCTTGATAATCCCTTAGTTAGGTCGTTGTAAAAGGGACCTTTGATATACAACTCTACAATAAGTACAAGGCTGGTAGGGATTTAAAAAGTCACCTAATGAAACTTTTATAGAAAAGGGAGTCAAGCTATTCTCCAAAGCGCCTGAAGGCAGGGCAAGAAGCAACAGATGGAAACTAATCAAGGAGAGAAGCAACCTAGAACTAAGGAGAAACTTCCCGACAGTGAGAACAATTAACCAGTGGAACAACCTGCCTCCAGAATGCTCCAACACTGGAAGTTTTTAAGAAGAGACTGGACAGTCACTTGTCTGAAATGGTATAGGGCAGTGGTTCTCAACCTGTGGGTCGGGACTCCATTTGGGGTCGAACGACCATTTCACAGGGATCGCCGAACAACGCAGTCCACCATTTTTCCCCCCCTTTTCCTTAGCTGTGCTACTCCCTTTTATTCTATTGGCTTTTGAAAGCCAATAGAATAGACTCTCTTGAATAGAGTCTAATTCTATTGGCTTTCAAAAGCCAATAGGAATTGTCCAGGCTGTCTCTGCCCTGCTGAGCCCGCCAAAAGTCCCATTCTGCAAACGGTGCTGCACCGGTTGAGTAGTCCTCGACTTACGACCGGTTGGGGGTCGCGGCATTAAAAAGGTTGAGAACCACTGGTATAGGGTTTCCTGCCTGAGCAGGGGGTTGGACTAGATGACCTCCAAGGTCCTTTCCAACTTTATTGTTGTTGATGATGATTAAGAATAATAATAATGTTGGAAGGGACCTTGGAAGTCATCTAGTCCAACCCGCTGCTCATGAAGGAAAGTCTATACCATTTCAGACAAATGGCTGTCCAGTCTCTTCTTAAAAACTTTCTTCTTCTTGTACCATATCCGTTATCGGACGTTGGCGATTCTGTTTTTATCAGCAGCCGCACGAAAAAGTGCTGCTGAATTTTGTCCAAACCAGTCCAGAAGTTGGAGTATTCGCAACTTCTGGAGACAGGTTGTTCCACTGATTAATTGGCCATTAAGGGAAATGAGCGGGAGTACGGCTGGTCAGCCAGCTACAATCCACCTGGTAGTGATGCTGTCTAACCCACATTTTTTCTATCTTATCAAGTAATAGATTGTGGTCTACTTTATCAAATGCCTTACTGAAGTCCAAGTAAATTATATCCACAGCTTTTCTCTGGTCCACTAATTTTGTCACCTGGTCAAAGAATGCAATAAGATTTGTCTGGCACGATCTGGCATAATAATAATAATAATTTTTCTTCCTCTCTTCTGTACACTAATCCCATCTCTACTCTTCAGGATATGAAATATTCTTCCCTACTGGGAATGCTAAGAATTGCAATTCTAAAAATCCGCAGGATGCCAAGCTGGCCTTGACATTTCTTCCTCACCTGAGTATATACATTGAGAAGAACCAGATGGTCTCCACCAGGCAGGAAGAAATTCATGCGGGCATTGTCAGCATGAACTACTTTGTCCTTAGGACGGTAAAAAATGGCATTGTTGACTGAAAGCATAGCAGCAATGGTCAGGATTTGCTCTGAGCACTTGTACCTGGGGAATTTCCAGCAAAGAAAGAGTGAGGTTGGGTGTTACTGTGGTGGAAACAAAGTCAGATTGAACAATAGCAATAAAAGCAAGCAGAAAACTTCAGAAGAAAAGGAGAACAGACCAACTGAAAGGAAGAGACATACATTAACAATCAACTGATGAAAAGCTAAACAAATACAGGATTTAAAATCGTAGTTTAAATCAGACATGCTAATGAAACATTACAAATACATCAATTTACAATCAATATCAAATGTGTAGGTGCTCTTTAAAAGAATACAAAATATTTAAAATTTTACTCAAGAATTGGAAGCCTTTTTAATGATGATAATGTATTTTAATTCTATCCGCACTTAATCAGGAATGTTTTTATGCTTAACAATTTATTATTTATATTTTAAAAATACTCCAGGTCTATAGGATTTTCATAATTACATAAAAACTGTTGTTCAAATATGTTGGAATTTTCTGAGAAGAATGTAATAGGCAATTAGAGATTGAACTAAGAAACAGGAAATGGATACAGCATGTTGCACCTGTGATTCCTGAAAAAATGTGAGCAAGGCCAAATCCACTATCAACATATTAAAAAATGCACAGAAAAAGCAGAGAAGCACTCACTGTTCAGAAGCTAGAATCATCTTTGAGAGCATGGGATCAACAGGCAATTCTGCCATCTTCCGGCCCAACTAAATACAAAATGCAGAGTTAATGAATTCAATTAAAGGACAAAAACTCTCACAAATGTAATATATGTCCACAAGTTAAAACACTATTTCTGATCAAAGTATATAGCCAAATATTTTGAAGATCTGTGCTTAAGACATCTGTGGCACCAGTTCTTATTACTAGCCATCCCAGCAGGCTTTCCTGTTTTTAAGAATAGAAAGGGACAAGCAGGTACAACACATTCAATTATCTACCATTCTTCATTGCATTTCTGTTTCTTCTCTCTGCAACCAGGAACCTCCTTCCAAATTCCTCAAAGCTTTGTATATCTTCAGTCTTTTATTCTCATAATACACTGTACACCAGGGGTCCCCAACCTATGGTCCGTGGCCCGGGACTGGGCTGTGGGCTCTTGGCCAGCGGGCTGCAGAAATGGCTGGCTGGTGCGCGCACGCATGGGCGCGCATTTCCCCCCCACTCGCGCTAGTGCCAGCGGCCCTGTTTGCGCAGGCATGAATGGGAATGTTAGCGCAGGGTGGGTGCCTGAGGCCCATTTGCGCATGAGCAGCTAGCCTGGGTGGTTTGCGTGGCCTGTTTGTGCATGCACGAACAGGCCGCTAGCTGCCATGGGGGTGCGCGACCATTTGCGCATGCGGCCAACGCATGCATGAACGGGACTGCTAGTGCTGTGCCAGTGTGTGTGGCCCATACAGGTGCACACACACCAATTCTGAAGCTGCTCTCCTTCCCTCCGGTCCTCGAACCCAGAAAGGTTGGAGACCTCTGCTGTATACAACCATTTATTTATTTAGATGTCTTTGTTTATTTTGTAGCAGAAAAGTAATCTTAATACAGATCCACCTACTTAAAATATAACACTTTAGTGCTCAAATCAAGTTGAACAGAAATCTTTCCTGTTACTGTTGATGTGATAATGACAAGTCCTCTTTTATGCTATTCTTGAAGAAAAATAATGAAAATGATTAGTATCCATGGAACCTTAACTAAGGAGTAACTAGAAAGTATATGGTAGTTGAATTTGAATACAAATTTAAAGCTTTAGTCTCTTTCCAACTTCTACCTTCACGCCCACTGATAGACAATCACTCTATTTTCAAAATAAGCATCCTGCCCTGACAAAATAGCCCTGGATAAGAAATCATACCTTGGTGAGTTCACCAAGATGGTTGAGGGCCCCCAAGGCATACAGCTGCTCTAATGCCAATACTAGAGTCTCGTGGGGTGGTGGATCCATGAAGTCAAAGTGAATCAAATCATTGATGCCTGAAGAAAGAGAGGAAATACAACCCGGCTAAGTGTTGCATATACAAGTTACTAGTCCCTACATGATCTTGAGTCTAGATATTTCTGTCTTCCATTGTAAAATGCATCTACTGACTTCCGGTACGGAGCGACAGCGATGGCGGCTATCTTTTAGCCGTCCAGCTGGGAAAGTGTCAGAGCCGCGGAGCACAGCGTGCATCAGCTGGTCCGCGGCTCGGAACTCCCTTCCCGGGCAAAGGGAAGGGACAGAGAGTGCAAGAGTAGAGTTAGAACCCCTGAACCCTCTCTGGATTTAATCCTAGAGGGGGTGAAAGGAGTGTTCCCTCGGAGCTCTTGCTGTCTCCGCCTCCCAGCTGTTTTTGCTTCCTAGGAAGCAAAAGAAACTGCCGCTTCTATCTCCGTGCTTATAGAGAGTTGGTGAGTAATTCCTAAAAAACGGACAGAGCAGTTTAAAGGATTTTTTCTTATATAATTTAGGTGTTTATTTTTTTTTATTTAGTTCTGACTATTTCTCCTTTTTTTTTTTTATTATTGTGGAGAAGGAATTAAGATGGCGTTTTGAAAGTGACGGAGTTTTTTTTCCTTGTCTTTTGTTTCACTTTCTCCTGTTTCACTTTCTCCTGTTAAGGACTGGACTTTACTTTTGCTTTTGGTATTGAATCCTCTTTTTTGATTTTCTTTTTCTTTTTGGTTTTTTTTCTCTGGATTTTCAAGGATTATAGTGTTTTTGCTGCCTCTTTTAAAAGTAAAATTTTTCTCTCTTTCCCCCTCATTTTTTTGGGGGGGGGGAAAGGGAAGTGAGAACTGTGTTATTTAAAATGGCTTCAAAGAGACAGCCGCCTTCTACAACATCCAAGGTGATTTCCTCTCCTATAGCTTCTACTGCACAACCACAACAACAACTTAAACATGCACCACCGGCACAGCCACCACCCTCCCCTCCTTTGCCTGGACTTTCAGCACAAGAGGCTAGAGGTATAATGGGAGAGGCTGTAGCTCAAATGAGAGAGGAAATGAAGCAACTTTCTATACAGCTTAAATCAGAAATTAAATCTGACTTCAAAGAAGAGATAAGTGGGATGAAGGATCAATTGGAAAAGAACAATAATATTTTGCGACAAGATATACTTGCAGCAGTCTCAGGTTTGGCTACAGTGGTGGTTAAGCTGAATGCAAGACTCGAGGAAGTTGAAGATAAAGTTGATTCCTTTGATGATAAAATTCAAGATGTGGAAAGGAAGGTGGAGACTTCACAAGAAGATATTTTGATGTTTCAGTACAGGCAGATGGAATATGCTTTGAGGATTAGAGGCCTCAAGGAAGATATGAATCAAGATCTGATGGAGGTGGTTCTTACTGATTTGGCTGTGGTTTTGGACATGGACAAAGAAGAATTACGCAGAGAAGTTGAAAAAGTGTACAGGCTTAACTCTTGGATTGCTAAGCAGAAGAATTTGCCTAGAGATGTGGTGATTTATTTTACGAAGAAGTCTCTGCGTAATGAGATCATACAAGCCTTTTATAATAAAAGATTTCAGATAGCTGCCCAAGATGTCATTATACTAAAGGAAATCCCATCAAAAATTTTAAGAAGCAGGAAAGATTTTGCTTTCTTAGCTAATGAGCTTAAAGCTAGATCGATGCCATTTAGATGGGAAATCCCGATGGGTATTGTTCTGAGCCATGCGGGGACACGTTATAGATTGAATACGGTTGATAAAGCTAGAGAATTCTATACTTCAGTCCTAGGTGCAGGCTCAATTTTACCTGTTCAGAAATCCCTGAGTGGCAAAGAGGCGGAGCAGCAGTCTGAGGCATTAAGTTCGGTTTCTGCTGGGATGCTGCAAGCTGAATGGCAACGCCACACGCAGGTTAAAGAGCAGAGAATGACTCGTGCAGCTTATAAACGTAAAGAGAAGGAGCAACGTAAGAAAGAGGCCAAAGAGATTTCTCCTGGAAATGTATCACCGCCGGTGGGAGGAGCAAGACCCAAGAGTCATGCAACACATGTTGCAATTTCAGATCTCCAAGGTGTCTTCTCCAGGCTGCGGGCCAAGGGAGATGGCAAAGTTTTTGACCTGGAATGTTAATGGATTGAATTCTCCTCAGAAAAGGAAAAAAATCTTTTATTATTTGAAGCAACGTAATAATGATGTTATTTGCTTACAGGAAACTCATATTTTACTTAAGGATCAGAAATATTTAGTTAATGCCCGTCTGGGATCTCACTTCGTATCTTCTGCTCCCGGGAAGAAGGGGGGAGTTGTTATTTATGTCAAGCAAAATCTACCAGTTTGTCTGGTGGAGTCTGACCCCCAAGGGAGATATGTGATGGTTGAATTGGGCTTATATGGTAAGAAAGTACTTATAGTGGGACTATATGCACCAAATCAGCAACAGGAACAATTTTATAGACTCTTACATGAAAAAATAAATCTGCTGGACTACAGATCCGTGGTATTAATGGGGGATTGGAATGGTGTTTTAGACGTACAAAGGGACAAAAAAGGCTCTTCTCCTCTTTTTAAGCAGGCAAAATTACCTAAAGCCTTTTTTGATATGAAAGAGGACTGGGAATTACGGGACTATTGGCGGGAATGTAATCAAGAGGAGAAAGACTTTACCTTCTTTTCAGATAGACACCAATCCTTCTCAAGAATTGACTTCTTTTTGATTACAACGGACTTATATAATAGAGTAAAGAATGTCAAGATTTTCCCTAGGTCTTTGACGGATCATAGTCCAGTTTGGATGGAGTTGACTCAAGAAAAAGAGGAGAGAAGATCCTGGAGGGTGAATGAGAATTTATTTAGACAAGAAAAAAATGTTCAGAAACTAAAGGAGTGTTTAAAGGATTACTTTGTTTTGAATATGTATAAGGGGACTTCAATGTCAATGGTATGGGATGCAGGGAAAGCATTTATGCGTGGGATTTTGATAAAAATGAATAACTGTCATAAGCAAAAACAGATTCAGAAACGTAAAGAATTGGAAGATGAAATTAAATTAAAAGAAAAGTCTTTGATTTTAAATCCTTCTGATGAAAGTATTAAAGAATCTTTAAAGTTGTTAAGAACACAATTTAATATGTTGTTAGCAGATCAAGCTGCAACCAATTTATTGTTTATGAAACAAAACACATTTTGTAATGCTAACAAGCCAGGGAGATGGTTGGCTTATCAGTTGAGAAAGAAACAGAGACAGAGAACAATAGATAAAATAAATTACAAGGGTAAATTAGTTTCTCAGAAGGAATTGATTAAGAAATCTTTTTTGGATTATTATCAAAAATTATATAAATCTACTAATGTGCAAATTTTAGAGATAAATAAATACTTAAGTGAGGTTAGTTTCCCTAAATTGACAGAGGATCAGAAACATGAAGTTAATGGTTTAATTACTAAGGAGGAAATTTTGCTAGCAATTCAACAATTGAAACCAGGGAAAGCACCGGGTACGGATGGGTTAACAGCTGTTTATTATAAAGCCTTACTGGAGGAGATGACTCAACCATTAGGTGATCTTTTTAATGGCATTTTACAGGGTCAAGAGATTCCTCCCTCATGGCGTACTGCTTTTATATCATTGATTCCAAAGGAAGATCAAGATCTTATTTTACCTAAGAATTATAGGCCTATATCTCTTTTAAATGTGGATTACAAGATATTTGTAAAAATCTTAGTAAATAGGCTTATGAGGGTTGTGCACTACCTTGTGCATAAAGATCAATCTGGGTTCATAACTGGAAGGTACATGAAAAATAATGTCAGACAAATTATTAATTTATTAGAATATTTAGATAAAAACAACCAAGTTCCTGCAGGGCTGATATTTTTAGATGCTGAAAAAGCTTTTGATCAATTGAATTGGCATTTTATGTTAAGAGTAATGGAAGAGATGAATTTTGGTGAAAAGATATTGCAAGCTCTTATGGTAATATATCAAAAACAAACGGCACAACTTATCGTTAATGGAGGTTTGTCAGAGGTTTTTACAATAGAGAAAGGTACTAGACAGGGCTGCCCATTATCACCGTTGCTGTTTGTCTTAACACTGGAAATACTGTTGATCAAAATTCGAGAGTCGCAGGAAATTAAAGGAATAGAAGTTAATAAAAAAGAGTATAAGTTAAGAGCTTTTGCGGATGACTTGGTCATCACTTTGTCGCAACCTACTTATTCTGTAGTAAAATTATTACAGCTGATTCATAATTATGGTTTGGTTTCGGGTTTTAAGATTAATGTTAATAAGACAAAAATTTTACCTAAAAATATGACTAGTCGGGAGAAGCAGACTTTGGTTAACTTGACGGGTTTTGAAATTGTTAATAAGGTAAAATATTTGGGGGTGATGCTATCTGTTTCTAATGCAAAATTATTTAAAAATAATTATGAAAGGTTGTGGGTTAGGGTACAGAGAGACTTGAAGAATTGGGAAAAGTTGCAATTATCCCTCATGGGAAGAATTGCAGTGATAAAAATGAATATTCTACCCAAGTTTCTCTTTTTGTTCCAAATGATACCGATTTTGAAGAATGAGATCAATTTAACTGAGTGGCAGAAAGGCCTTAATAAATTTATTTGGGCAGGGAAAAAGCCAAGGGTTAAGTTTAAAATTATGCAAGATTTCCGTGAGAGGGGAGGACTCAAGGTGCCGAATTTGAAATTATATTATGATGCGGTGGTTTTAACATTAGTTAGTGACTGGGTAAATTTGACAAATTCTGATATACTTCACTTAGAGGGATGGAATTTACTTTTTGGGTGGCATGCCTATTTAATATTTAATAAAAAAATGGATTGGGCTTTTAAATCTCATATCTTAAGAATTTCTTTACTTAGGGTTTGGAGAAAATATTACAAAAGTGATTTTAAAGTACCATTATGGGCCGTACCTTGGCATGCAATAGAAGGAATAAAAAGAGGGGTTAAAATGGATATGGTGTCCTGTAGACAGTTACTTAAATGGGATGGACAAAACTGGCAGTTAAAATTACGGGAAGAGTTAGCACAAGAAAATATTATTTATTCTTGGTTCCAATATAGGCAATTATTAGATAGATGGAAGATGGACTGTAAGGTGGGTTTTTACAGAGAAGATGAAAATCTTATTAAGCAAGTGAAGGATCAAAGACAAACCCACATTAAGAGGATCTATGGGGTTTTAGTTGAATTGGATTCAGAAACGGAACTAATTAAAGATTGTATGATTAGATGGGCGCAGAATTTTGGTGAGCCAGTTCCATTGGACACCTGGGAAATTATTTGGGTGAGAAATGTCAAATTTACACAAGCACAGAACTTAAGGGAGAATTTTTATAAAATGTTTTATAGATGGCACCTTGATCCACAAAAAATGTCTTTTATGTACCCTGACTTACAACCTAAATGTTGGAGATGTGGTTGTATGGATGCTACTTATTATCATATTTGGTGGTCGTGCAGAGAGATAAAAGCATTCTGGATTAAGATATGGTGGAATATCCAGAGAATTTTTAAAAGGAGGGTAAAATTTACTCCGCAATTATTTTTGTTAGGTATAGCTATTGATTGTGATACAAAGGAAATTATATTGATGTTAAATTTGATTACAGCTGCGAGGCTGTTAGTAGGACAATATTGGAAGAAGGAATCTTTGCCTACATTGCAGGAATGGTTTCTTAAAGTGTCTCATTTGGCGGAAATGGCAAAGATTTCGGCTTTCTTAAAGGGACAAACGCAAGAGAAATTTCTTGCTGTTTGGGATAAATGGATAAAATTCATACAATTTAAATTTGATATAAAAAAATATTATATAGTTTTTTCATAATTTTTAACTTTATATATATATATATATTCTATTTTATATTCTTTTTTATAAATTTTTTTAACTTTTTCTTTAATTAAGCCTATATTCTGCTCTGGGAGGTCCTGGGGGGGGAAGGGGGGGTTTGGGTAGGGGTGGGGGAAGGGGGTTTTTGTTGGTTAATGTTTGTTTTTTATTTGTATATGTTGTTTTTTGTTTTTGTATTGTTTCTTATTTTTTGTAAAATTTATAAAACTCTTTAATAAAAGATGCATCTACTGAAATTTAACCCTTAAAAATGATCCAGTTCCTATTGTGAAAAATCTTGGTAACATATTCTAGGGAACATGCGATCCCTATATTTTGCTACCCAAGATTGCCAAAACACACACCTAAGCTTTTGAGAAGAAGCACTACATTCCCAAGGTTGGTTCTCTGAATCTCTGGCACCGTGGTTTCCTCCATCTCATTTTTGTACGCCCAGGCTGTGTAGAGACGGAAGCACTTTCCTGCAGCCACACGGCCTGCCCGACCTGCCCTCTGATTGGCAGAAGCCTGATGGAGAATAAGAAGATGATCTGTGAGACTGGAACGGTTACTTCATCAGATTCCAGAGGCGAATGTAGAAGAAAAATAAGTAGTAGTTCCCCAACTAAGACAATCTTAAATTAATCTCTCTCTCTCTCTCTCCCTCCCTCTCTCTCTCCCTCCCTCCCTCTCTACATATACAGTGCTAAATTTAATATTTATATATTTGTATTCAGAAAGTATTCAGACTCCCTTCACTTTTGTCAATTATGCTGCAGCCTGATTATACAGTTATTGCAATTTTTTTCTTCATTAATCTACACTCAGCATCCCATAATGACAAAGTGAAAACCAAATTTTAGAAATTTATTAAAAATAAAAAACTGAAACATCACATTGAGGACAAGTTTTCAGACCGTTTGCAACAACACTTGAAATTTAGCTCAGATGCCTCCCGCTTCTCTTGATCGTTGCTGACATGTTAGAATCCACCTGGGGTAAATTAAATTGATTGGACATGATTTGAAAGGCACACACCTCTCTATAGAAGGCCTCACAGCTGACTATGCATACTGTAGCAGAGTAAAAGCCATTAGGTCAAAGGAACAGGATTATTGCAAGGCACAGATCTAGGAAAGGCTACAATAAAATTACTGCTGCATTGAAGGTTCCTAAGAGCTCAGTGGCCTCCATAATTCTCAAATGGAAGAAGTTTGGCACAACCGGGACTCTTCCAAGAGCTGGTCACCTAGTCAAACAGAGCAAACGGGCGAGAAGGGCCTTAGTAAGAGAGGTGTCCAAGAACCCAATGGTCACTCTGACTGAGCTCCAGAGATCCTGTGAGGAGATGGGACAGAGTTCCAGAAGGACAACCATCACTGCAGCCCTCCACCAATCTGGGCTTTATAGCAGAGTGGTTAGATGGAAGCCTCTCCACAGTGCAAAACACATGAAAGCCCATTTGGAATTTGCAAAAAAAACCCTGAAGGTCTCTCAGACTGTGAGGAACAAGATTCTCTGGTATGATGAAACCAAGATTGAACTGTTTGGCCTCAGTTCTAAACATTATGTCTGAAAGAAACCAGGCACTGCTCATCACCTGTCCAATATCATCCCAACAGTGAAACGTGGTGGCAGCATAATACTGTAGGACTGTTTTTCAGCAGCAGGGGCTGATCATGGTTGAGGGAAAGCTGAATGGAGCAAAGTACAGGGATATCCTCAATGAAAACCTGTTCCACAGCGCTCAGGATATCAGACTGGGCCGAAGGTTCACTTTCCAACATGACAACGACCCTAAGCACACAGATAAGACAACACAGGAGTGGCTTAGGGACAACTCTGTGAATGTCCTAGAGTGGCCCAGCTATAGCCCTGACGTAACCCCATCAAACACTTCTGGAGGGACCTGAAAATGGCTGACTACTGACGGAGCTTGAGAGCAAGGAAGAATGACAGGTGTGCAAAGCTTGTCGCATCATACCCAAAAAAGACTCGAGGCTGTAATTGCTGCCAAGGATGCTTCAGTAAAATACTGAGTGAAGGGTCTGAATACTTATGCCAATGTGATATTTGAGTTTTTTCTTTTTAATAAATTTCAGACATTTCTAAAATTTTGTTTTCACTTTGTCATTACAGTGGAGATTAATGAGAAAAAAATGATTTTCAACAACTGTAGAATCAGGCTGCAGCATAACGAAAGTGACAAAAGTGAAGGGCGTCTGAATACTTTCTGAATGCACTGCATGGCAATCTTTCTCCAGAAACAGGGCAATAAATATAATTCTCCCACAATTTATGTTTACTACAGCCAAATTAAGATAATGATAATTGATCATCTGGATTTAATTACAGATATTCTGACTTGATTATTGTTTGTTATTTTAACCTTTACATATGGCACAATGTAAGCTACTCAGAATTTTTTGATTGGCATAAACTATAAGCCTGTTAAAATCTACACAAGCACACCACCACTACAAATTTCTAAAAGTTCTTAGTAATATTATAATGTCCACAATGAATAAAGTGTAGTTCAAAAACCTAGATTTCAGAAAATCCCAATTTTCTTCAACATTCAGAGACTGCAATTAGAAAGGATGCTCTGATCATTTTTTATTAATGGTTCCATTATCACAGGAGTCAACAAGAGAATTCATTTGACACCATAATACTCACTTAAGAATCCTTGCCCAACTACCCCTTGCTTTGGTCTATATCAGGGGTCTTCAAACTTGGCTCCTTTATGACTTGCCAGCATGCCTGGCTGAGGAATTCTGGGAGTTGAAGTCCACAAGTCATAAAAGGGCCAAGTTTGAAGACCCCTGGTCTATATATTATGTGTGCTTTCTAACTATTTTCCTTAAGACCCCTGCAGGGTTAGAGCTTCACCACTGGTGGGTTGGTGAATACTATTACATGGATGTGTTATATTATAAAAGTGATTTCTGTACATCTTCATAGCTTTACAGAATCACAGATCATAAATCCCTGATAATTTTTCATTGTCCTGTGATTTATTTTTTAACTGTTTCCAGATTAACTACATTCTTAACAAATTACTTCCTGCAAAAAATTAACACCAATGTGAATAAGGGAACCAGATTAAATGAGAGCTTCAGATAACTTTGAAGACATTCAAGCTCAGCAAATGAGAGAGATTGGATGGGGAAGGGAATGGGGAAGAAAAGTACTTATACCAGATACCCGAGAACAGGGGGTAACAATAAGTGACTCCATGCCCGTGCGAGCATTGTAACTCTTCTGTTTGCAAAACCCAGGGTCAATCACATAAATTATGCCATCTATGGTCAGTGATGTCTCTGCTATGTTTGTGGCCACGACAACCTGAGGAGAAAAGAGATACTCATAACTGATGGTGTAAAGCTGCTATTTCTCATAACCTCAACTTCACTATAAATGTTTTAAGTTATAGAACCCAATAATTCCATGAGATGAAGGCTCCTCAGAGCAGGTTAATATTTTTTTTGATCATGGGATCTACTCCTTGGAAAGATGTTTTAACCATAGCAGCTTGAAGGCTGGGGAATTCTGAGAATTGAAGTCCACACATCTTCAAGCTGCCAAGGTTGAGAAATACTGTTGATGAGGGTCTCCTGAAAGGTAGCAAAGACCCTACTGTTCAGTAGTGCCTTTGGGGAGGACTTATGTGCTAGCTGGAATGTGATTCTCTTAGCTAATTTATTTGCTGTAATATACCGTTTTGTAGCTTATTTATATATTGCACATTTATTTGTACCAAGGATGTTTTCAATTTGTTTTTACACTTTTTTTAAGTCGCCATGATTCTAATAGATTTGGCAACATCCAAATTGACTATTCAAACAAATCTATATCTATATTATATTTTATATATATATAAAAATGTAAATGTTCGTTTGTTCAAAATCTTAAATCTTCGAAAGTTCTTCACCGATTGCTTTGAAATTTTGACACAACGTTGCATTCGAATATGCGCGTGTTTTTATATACCTATATTATATAGATGTCACACCTGTGACAGGTAAAAACATCCTTTTTTTGAAAAACATCGCCATCTGTTGGACATAAAAGCAACACACGCTACAATTTCAGACAATCTCTATATCTGCACAGACAATGGAACAACAAAAAATATTGTATACCCACAAGCATTGTGAAATTAAACATATTATAAACGTGCACTTTCTCTTTTCTTTCTTTTCCATTTAACCAGACTGAGCCACAGCAACGCGTGGCTGGATACAGCTAGTAAATAATATGTAGAATATAACATTAACTAATGAAGAAGGTCCAACTGTAATCCTGATTTCTTCATTAAAAACATTCTATGGAAGAAGTCTCTGAAAGATCTCTGCCCAAGAATTTGCTAATACAAATAGACAATACTGTATGGAGAAATGACATAGGTCTCGGTAAAGCAGCTTCAAATATATTTACTACAAAGGCAAAAAATCTGATTGTCTTGGTTCCTTTTCTTTTATATTGTGATTGACTTTCTGATTTTTTTTTCCTTCCTTAAGTCCAGGACAGTCAGTAAAGTGTGTTAGGCCAATTACATTCCTATATTACTGACTTCAGACAAGATGAAGAAAGAAGAGTTAGGGCAGGGGTAGGCAACCTTAGCTTTTATGACTCATGGACTTCAACTCCCAGAATTCCTGAGCCAGCCATGCTGAGGGGAAAGGAAGGTTTCCAAGCTGAGCCATGCTGGCTCAGGAATTCTGGGAGTTGAAGTCCACAAGTCATAAAAGAGCCAAGGTTGCCTATCCCTGAGTTAGGGGAAAGCAACAGCTGATTAGGTATACACTGAACCAAATGCTGCAGCTGTTGGAAGGTGATCACTCACCTATCTGTGTCAGACAAAATGTTAAACCTATATTCAAAGGCAGTTTTGAAAAGGCTAATGTCAAATGTCAGAATTGCTAAAAATTTTCTGCCTGTAGGGCTTTTTCCAAAATTCTTTCCTCTAGGGAGGTTAGAGGTTATGAGATATATATTTTGTGCAAGAGTTGTGCATATATTGAGCTTTCTTTTGTTGACTGGCAGCCAATAGTCAAATGAAAATACATTATGCAGTGTGTACATTTCATAAGCATCGTTAATAATACTGTTGAGCTTTCAGACTGCAGGCTGCAAAATGCATATTCAATTGGCTTTTATTTCTTTGTTGTGCATGCTCTGTTGATGCTGAATTTTCTACATGTCAATTGCAAAAACAATATGTTTCTTTGCCAAGTATTCCTGGCAGGCTGCAAATACAGAAATGGGCATATTCTTGGACAATATGAAGAGATAAGAGCTAGAGATGTGGTTTTGTTTTTACTGTTGTTGTTTGTGGTTTCCTAATGAATGCTGTGTACAGTATTGCTCTTTATTGAGTGTCTGTGATGGTGTAGGGCAGGAGTGGGCAACCTTGGCTCTTTTATGACTCGTGGACTTCAACTCCCAGAATTCCTGAGCCAGCATGGCTCAGCTTGGAAACCTCTCCCTTTCCCCTCAGCATGGCTGGCTCAGGAATTCTGGGAGTTGAAGTCCACGGGTCATAAAACAGCCAAGGTTGCCTACCCCTGGTGTAGGGAGACAGATAACAGCAGGCTTTAATGATTTCACTTCAATTTTTTAAAAAAAAAATCATCCCATTTTTCCTCTATAGATAATTAGGTAGCAGTCAGCAAGCATTATCACACCATCATAAGAAGACACTTGTTTTGCATTCCTATTATCTCTACAGTGAAATATTTGAAATGTTCAACAAATAAAACATGCAACACTTGAAGAATTTAGAATGTGTTCTGTTATATTGCCAACCTGGCTGTTTTATCTCATTCTCAAAACAAAACCTCTTCTCCTTTTTGTGCGCACTCCTAATATTCATCTTCTTTCAACGACCTACAATTTCCAAACATCTCAAATGCAAATCTCTAAATCAGGGTCTCCAAACTTGGCAACTTTTAAGCCTTGCGGACTTCAACTTCCAGAATTCCTCAGCCAGCCACGCTGCACGGTTTGGCCTCAAATAGCCAGACCTTACTTTCCTGCTTTGCACAATCAGTTTTTACCTTCCGGGCCCCTGGTGGGGTCGGTTCAAAGATCTTGGCCTGCATGTCGGAGGGTAGATTAGCATAAATTGGGAGGACCACAAGTTCTGCAATTTTGGAGCCCAAGCGCCGGCAACGATCCTGTAACATCTCACAGCAGGCTTCAATTTCTTCCTGCCAATAGAAACAGAAGTTAAGCTCTACTTATTATAATAAAATGTTGATTAAATAATGGCAGAGTGAATTAGGAGAAAATACGCAAGAGTTACCTGGCCAGTCAGAAACACAAGGATGTCCCCTCGGGGCTGGGTGACATGAATCTGCAGCACCGACACCACACAGGCTTCCAGATAATCAGCCTCTGGGGCCTAGAGGGAAGAGGCAGAGGGAGGACAATCAAAGTACAGGTCATCCTCAGTTAATGACGATTAGCAACCATTCAAAATTATGGCAGTGCTGAACAAATGATAGTTACACCTAGTCCCCAAAGCTACAGCATCTGAGTAGCTATAACTGCATTTGATCAACATCTGAGTGCTTAGTGGGTTGCCCAGAGGCACCTCAACTTTCCTTATCTATCTCCCTCTTCATCTCTGTCCTTTTGGCGCCCCGCACACCACTGCCTCAACCTGCTATCCCCAGCTGACCTTCGCCATCTTCTTCCTCCCACTGCTGATAAGGCAGGCCTGACCTGGCCCTTCATGAGCCAGCTGTTGGCTGCATCGGGCCTTCTTCCCAAGGCGGCAAGCACCGTTCTCCAAATCACGTGTGGCCTTCAAGTGAGGCTTTCAAGCTTTCCAAAGCCTTACAAGAAGGCTACATGCAATTTGGACAAGGGTGCGCAGGATTTGGACAAAGCTGGACATGGCTTTGGGAATAATAATAAGGAGGAGGAGGAGGAGGAGGAGGAGGAGGAGGAGGAAGAAGAAGAAGAAGAAGAAGAAGAAGAAGAAGAAGAAGAAGAAGAAGAAGAAGAAGAAGAAGAAGAAGAAGAAGAAGAAGAAGAAGAAGAAGAAGAAGAAGAAGAAGAAAAAGAAGAAGAAGAAAGTTGGAAGAGACCTTGGAGATCATCTAGTCCAACCCCCTGCTCAAGCTGGAAACCCTATACCATTTCGGACAAATGGCTGTCCAGTCTCTTCTTAAAAACTTCCAATGTTGGAACATTCACCGCTTCTGGAGGCAGGTTGTTCCACTGGTTAATTGTTCTGTCAGGAAGTTTCTCCTTAGTTCTAGGTTGCTTCTCTCCTTGATCAGTTTCCACCCATTGCTTCTTGCCTTCAGGTGCCTTGGAAAATAGCTTGACTCCCTCTTCTTTGTGGCAGCCCCTGAGATATTGAAACACGGCTATCATGTCACCCTTCGTCCTTCTCTTCGCTAAACTAGACATACCCAATTCCAGCAACCGTTCCTTATATGCTTTAGCGTCCAGTCCCCTAATCATCTTTGTTGCTCTTCTCTGTACTCTTTCTATAGTATCAGCATCTTTTTTACACCGTGATGACCAAAACTGGATGCAGTATTCCAAGTGTGGCCTTACCAAGGCATTGTAAAGTGGTATTAATACTTCACGTGATTTTGATTCTATCCCTCTGTTAATGCAGCCCAGCACTGGCCTTTTTGGCAGCTGCAGCACACGGCTGGCTCATATCTAAGTGATTGTCCACTAGGACTCTGAGGTCCCTCTCACAGTTACTACTATTGAGCAAGGTACCCCCTATACTATACCTGTACATTTGGTTTTTCTTGCCTAAATGTAGAACCTTGCTTTTTTCACCACTGAATTTCATTTTGTTAGATAGCGCCCAGTGTTCACGTCTGGCGCAACCAGCAGCTGCCTTGTGAAGGGCCAGGCCAGACAGACCTCGCAGCAGTGAGAGGAGGAAGACGGCGAAGATCGAGTGAGGATGGCAAGGACAGCAGAGTGTCAGGATGACTGAGGATTATCTGTAACTCTTCTTGAGTTAAATAAACACAACCTCACCTCCCTGAATGGTTTCTACTATTGCTTGTCCTTGGTCCTCGCTCAGTTTTTCTGCTCTGAATTAGATATGCTTCCATAGATTATTTTCTCCTTTTGTTCTAATTTTGTGAAACTAGAAAGATTTGTTAAGGGCAAGACTATCTGAAAAAAATTTAGTCCCAATTGTGGTCATAAGTCAAGGACTAGCTATAGGAAGTAATGATTGAACAAAAGATAACCCAGGTTAGGAAAGTTGGATAGAATGAAATCCAGCTATGGGAATAAAGCCTGTAATACTGCCACACACAATAGCTATAAAACAGAAAAAAAATGGTACAATCTACAGCTTCAACTTGTAAAAAAATGGTACAATCTACAGCAGTGGTTCTCAACCTTTCTAATGCCGCGACCCCATAATACAGTTCCCCATGTTGTGGTGACCCCCAACCACTTATACATCACCGGGTGCCAGGGGCGTGGCCAAAGGGGGAAAAAATGGCGGACAGCCTTGTTTGGCGACCCCCATGAAATGGTCGTTCGACCCCAAATGGGGTTCCGATCCACAGGTTGAGAACCACTGATCTACAGCTTCAACTTATATAAATTCGAATTTGGACGTAAGAATTTGCATTCTGGAAATCTTACATGCTCTCCTCAAAGCCACAGCCACTGAGGTCGATCACTTTATCTCTCGGTTTCCTCAGCCCTTCACACACACGCAAACACAAAACACTTGGTGTTGGCTGACCTTAGTGTAATAAATGTCAACAGGAAAACGGCGCCCCGGGATGCGGAAGATGGGAGCATCGTCAAAGAAGGTGGAAAAGCGCTCGGTGTCCAGGGTGGCACTGGCAATCAGCACCTTCAGCTCAGGCCGGAAGCGAGCAATGTCCTTAATCAAGCCAAACAGAATGTCGGTGTGCAGCGTGCGCTCGTGAGCCTCATCTATGATGATGACGCTAGGAAGCCAGCGAGAAAGGGTGTTGGTTAACACTCATGCAATATTTCTACTCGTCTGCAAGGGATTTCGTAGTCTCGGTTCCATTTAAAGTCAGGCCAGTGTTGGCATATTTTTTTTTTAAAAACTAAGATAGGAAGATTACAATTTACAGTCTACTACAAAGACTACAATTTTAAGGAATCTGCAGCAGAGATCAGCCTTGAATCTAGATCTCTTAGCTTATTCATTAAGATGTACTATGATACCACACTACGTAACGCTCTTCAAACTGCAGATATTTTCTTTCTAACTATGGTCCCAAAGCAAGCTCTAGTATGGATTGCACTCTCTGGAGCAATACTGAAATCTCACCGGCTCAGGGTTGACTCAGCCTTCCATCCTTCCGGGGTAGGTAAAATGAGGACTCAGATTGTTGGGGGCAATGTAAATATATATATCAGTGGTTCTCAACCTGTGGATCGGGATCCCATTTGGGGTCGAACGACCATTTCACGAGGGTCGCCAAACAAGGCTGTCCGCCATTTTTTCCCCCTTTTCTTTGGCCACGCCCCTGGCACTCGGTGATGGGGGTCACCACAACATGGGGAACTGTATTATGGGGTCACGGCATTAGAAAGGTTGAGAACCACTGATATATATATACATTGCTTACTGGTGTATACCGCTTAGAGAGTGCTCGCACTTAAAGCGGATATAAGTCTCATAAATAAAATAAATCAGACCCTCACGTGGAAACAAATGTCATTTATTCCCCCCAGACCCAATTTACCATGCAAGTCTAAAAGGACATATCTAAGCTTGTCTAGGCCACTAAGGCAAGTGTCCACTTCTGTTACTCACCTGTAGCTACTCAGGTCAGGTTCAGTGAGGAATTCTCTGAGCAGCATCCCATCCGTCATGTACTTCAACACTGTCCGCTCTGAAGTGCAATCTTCAAAACGGATGCTGTACCCTACCTGGGGGAAGGCACAGAGCTGTCTTTATGGCAGGCAGAGCAACATTTGTCCAGGAATTTTATTTAACTCAAATCAAAGCCGCCTCCAAAGAAATGCAAGTAGTCCTCAACTCATGACCACAACTGAGCCCCAAAGTTATGTTGCTAAGCCAGATAGTTTTGCCCCATTTTATCTTTCTTTCCACAGTTGTTAAGTGAATCACTGCAATTGTTAAGTTAGTAACATGGCTGCTAAGTGAAACTGGCTTGCCCGTTGACTTTGCTTGTCAGAAGGGGGCAAAGGGTGATCACATGACTCTGGGACACTGCAACTGTCATAAAGAGGAATCGGTTGCCGAGCATCCGAATTCTGAGCACATGCCATGGCAGTGGTGAACCACATACCAGGCAGTGGTGAATCACTTCCATACTGTTGCTAGGAAAACTATATGGACATTTATCCAAGAAGTCACCAGAAGACAATCTGCTCTCCGAGGAAATCTCAATGCTTACATTACCTGGAACAACAGATATTGTTATGAGGCTAAAGAGTATTATGATGGCCAACACATCACTGCCTTCAGGTCTACGGCAAATAAGGGTGAACAATGGACACATTGACTTTTATCTGAAAATTTGGGATAATGCCTATATATAAGGAGCCCTGCTGGATCAGCCAACCAGATGCTTCTGGGGAGGAGATGGTGGAGTCAGGTATAACCCTCCTCCATCCCTGTACATCTACAACTAGTGTTTGGAGGTATGCTGCCCCCAATCCAGAAATAAACTGAATCTCAAGATAAAAGCACTTGGATATACCTGTCCTTCAATGTACCCATCACCACGTTGTGTGATACTGATTTCTATAGTTGCATGCTCTATTTGGCTGAATAATGCATGCTCTATTTGGCTGTGGACATTTTCATGCCAGGGAAGCAACTTTTTTTCCTAATGATATAGGCTGCCATTAAAATAATTACTGGCCATCCCAAAATTAGATCAGGATTATAAACTGGCTAAGAGGATTGGTAATATATAATACGCAGATTCTTTCCTTCCCCTCTCCCTCTTCAGAACATACTTCATTTCCAAGCTTGACATTCATTTCCTGTGAAACACGGGCAGCAACACTCATAGCTGCGACTCGCCTGGGTTGAGTACAGCCAATCTTCATTCCTTTCTTGGTGTAACCCTGTTAGGGAGAGAGAGAGAGAGAGAGAGAGAGAGGGAGAGAGGGAGAGAGAGAGAGGGAGGCAGAGCGACAGAGACAGAGAGAGAGAATATCCATGATTCAGGATTTTAATACCAAAGCTGTTATGTGCAGAATGGTTTGCGTAGGGGCTAAAATACTATGCATATTGGGGCCACTGGATTATACATTCAGCAGTTCATGGCCACACTCAATAATTTATGGGTGTGCATAAAATTGTTTGGGTAAGTGCTAAAATTCTTTTCCTGGTGAGGGTCGCTGGATTACACACTCAATTTTTTATGAATATACTAATATGCACACAACAAAACACCTGGGATTTGTCAAGTATGAAAAATAGACTTATTTCTTCTGCGTAAATCATCCCAAAGCACTGATTCAAAAGTTTTAGTACAATAGTTTTATGCACATTTTAAATATTCTTAAAATCAAAAACCATTTTTCAAGGGCATCTCTAGAAATGTAAATAACCAACTTCTTTTCAGTGGACAGCAAAATGTGGGTTTTGTAGAATGTGTCAAAAGGCAAGATGTGGTCAAATCATAACCCAGACGCAGTAGAAAATGCTACTTTCCCTTCTAAAGTTCTGGATGGCACTTAACAGTGTTGTTTTTCAGTGGGTTTTTGGCCGGCCATGAAGGTTGTGAGTGGTGATTTCGTTTTTTAATGTTAACTTACTGTTTTACCTATTTCATTACATATACACTGTCCACAGTCTGAACAAGTGGGGAAGCTTATAAAATAAATAACTATTTGAGGGAGTGTGTGTGTGTTTTTCCATTTTTTTCATCTTGATTCTTGCCTCACTGCCACAACTCTGTGCCGCTTTTTACAATCTTAACAGTTTTAAAATCCTAAGTTTCAACTGGAAAGGAGGCCGGAAATTAGGAAAAAAATCCTTATGGACCAAATGTTTTAAAAACTGGGATCTTCTTGAGTTTTGTTTGTAGCTCAAAACAACACATGGTCATTACCTTTAAAGCCCTATATGGCTCAGGGCCATTTGCGAGACCGCCTACTACCTCATAGTTCCCTACGTCCGGTTAGATCCCATGGGCTGGGCCTCCTTCAAGCCCCGTCGGGCCAAGCAGTGCCATTTGGCCTTCTCTGTGATGGCGCCCACGCTTTGGAACCAGCTCCCCCCGGAGATTAGGACCGCTCCCACCCTGTTGGTCTTCCGTAAGCTACTTAAGACCTGGCTTTTCTGGCAGGCCTGGGGTTTATAAAACCTGACCCCTGGATGACTGTCTTTGTACTGTTTGTTTGTTATGTTTTATGTGTTTTTTATTGTTAGCCGCCCAGAGTCCTTATTTTAAAAATAAAATAAAATAAAATAAAACCAATATACAAACAACACATATCCAGGCCAGTAACCACCATGATTTCCAGAAAAAGGCACTGGGACAGAGACGAAGAACAGGACAGCTGAAGTAGGAACTAAAGAGTAATGCAGACTGACTCCTAATATTATATGCAGGCCTATGATTACAAAAGAAGAGTATTGCTCCCTAGCGATACTCCAGAGGGCAATACTCTACTTCAACTCCAATCCTTAGCATATAGTAGGGACCAAAGAGACAGCATTTCCCTCCCATCAGCTTCACCGTTGATCTCCTTCACTCCTGCAAATAATTATTCTCCCTTTTCCTATCAAGTTACCTCTTCGTACAAATATTGTGGGATTTGAGTGGTCTTGCCAGAGCCAGTCTCCCCTTCAATAATGAGCATCTGATGTTCAGCAATGGCAGCCAGTAGGTCTTCCTGATATGGGAAAATAGGAAGGCTGCGGCGCACCTCCTGGAGAGACAACTTCTTGAGTTCAGCCTGGGACAGTTCCGGCTTCTCCTCCTGGGACCGAGGAAGCAGAGTTAGATGAGCTTCCCTAGACAAACAAGAACTTGGTTCTGTATTTCCTATCCCTGGACAAAAGGGATACCACAAGCAGATTGTGGGAGGCACTGTAAATCAATGGTATTTACTTTTGTTTACCTGTCAGAGCTGTCAGGCACAATCCTTCGTACTGCTTGAAAACAACCCAGAAACAATCTATGGATTCCCTTAATTGATTCTATAGAGCAGGGGTGTCAAACTCAATTTCATTGAGGGCCGCATCAGCATTGCGGTTGCCCTTGGGGGGGCGGAGTTTTGTGGCTAGGGTGAGTGGGCCTACTGGATGGGCATGGATGGAGTGGGTGTGGCCTATTGGGTGGGTGTGGCCAGCTCTACATCATTCGCGTCAAGGGTGCCTGTGGGGGCCTGGGCAGGAGTGGGACAGATCTGAGGGTCTTTGGCAGAAGGGAGTGGGACCAGGGCAAGTGCCAAGGCATGGTCCACTGGAGGAGCCTCACTGCTCCTCTCAGGCCATGTGGGGGGGGCCTGGATGGTGGCGCGGGCTACCCAGAGTCCTGGGCAGCAGAGGTCAAACACCCAGCCTGGCCCTCAAGCACCTGCGGCACCAAGCTGTTTCCAGACGGCCTTGGGGAGCTAAAACTGAATGTGTTTCAGCATAGATGGCCACCACAAAATTGTACATTGGCTCCCGGCTGGCCTGGGCCAGGGCCAAGGCAGCGGAGGCCGTTCCCTCACTGTTTCCAGGATGGCTTCGCGGGCCACATGAAACTACTTCGTGGGCCGCATCCGGCCCCTGGGCCTTGTGTTTGACATGTCTGCTATAGAGCAGTGATGGCGAACCTTTTAGAGACCGAGTGCCCAAACTGTAATCCAAACCCACTTATGTATCGTCGGATGCCGGGTGGGCGTGGCCCACTGGGTGGGCGTGGCTGCAGTGGTAACAGCAGACTGGGTGGGACTAAAAAGTTCAATCAATCAATTCCAACTTTGCGAGTTCTTTTTTTTCCCCGCAAGAAGTTGAAATTGATTGATTGAACCTTTTTTTTTTTTTTTTGCACACGGCGGTGGAGGCCTAAAGCGAAAAGGTTTTATAAAACCCAGCTGAAGGCCTAGGACTGGGGTGATGGCACACGTGCCCACAGAGAGGGCTCTGCATGCCACCTATGGCATGTGTGCCATAGGTTCACCATCATGGCTATAGAGCAAGGGTCTTCAAACTTGGCTCTTTTATGACAAGTCATAAAAGGGCCAAGTTTGAAGACCCCTGCTATAGAGAGTTAATATTGGGCTAGTAAGTCTGACTCAGTTAACATAGTTTCCTTTGGGCACCCATATTTAAGCAGCATTTAGTACAGAGAGAGCCATGGTGATGGCCTTGAGGGAAATAGTCAGAAGCTGTTACAAAAAACCAGAAGGGTAGAAGTAGGCATTGAGCCCTGGGAATGGATAAAATATTAGGAAGAGACTGAGGATGGCTCCTCCCTGACTCACTGGGATTTAAGAAGGAAGGGAAAAGGAACACAAGCACAACTGCAGGATTCTGTTATTTCTATTTCTTCTCTGCTACTATCAAATCCTAGATTCCTTGTCTATGCTCTGAATACTGTAATCCTTGATAAATAGCTCCCTTTCCCTGATTTATCGAAATCAACTTCCATTTTCGAGAATCCCTCCTGTTGAGACAGAGCTATTTGATCAGTTTTTTTGCTTCTAAGACACTTACATTTGTCCATGCGAGATCTCTAATCAACTGGCCAGAGTCACTTGGTTAAGTTGGCAACTATAGAAATTGATTAACTAACAAAACAAAAAACAAATATATTGATCCTCGCGTCCTGGAGGATTAAGTATTTTTTAGGGACAAGAACTGAATTTCTACTAGGAGTTTCTGGTTAGGCTAGCATTTGCAGAGTCTCATCCTCTCTATTTCCCAGTCTGCACCCTCTCACCTTGTCCTGATTTGTGCCCCGCATTTGCACAGCGTTCACAAACTGGATCATCTCGTCATCTTCTAGCACGTACTCGTAGACTTTGCGAGGATGGCGCCGATCAGCATCCCGGGCCCCGAAACGGAGAGCAGCTGCCCCAATGTGGTCTTCCTCCCAGCGCCGCTGCTCATCCCTCGGAGCCATGTGATCCTCTGCCTGGGGCTCCTCATAACGATCAGGAATCTTCTGCAGGACAACATCCAAAGAGAACCATCAGCGCAGTGCGTTCAGCAGCACAGTAGCCTATAGATACAGTCGCTGTGTCTGTAATCCAAGTTTTTGTATGTTTTCTTCAGAAATATGCCAGGCACTGAGTCATGTCCCTAAGTGCATATAATTTTAGGAAGCGTTAAAACTCACTTGTCATTTTGAACATTCTGTCCACTGATCCAAGAATCAGAATCCAGTGAAACAGACAGCAAGCAATGGGCCTAAACCTCAGTGCCTGGGTTCAGATGCAGGAGCTTAATCTGATGTGGCAATCGAGTCAGAAATAAAAGCTAACTGAAATATTTAGAGAAGAATGATTTGGCCTCTACATTCTGGAAGATCTTTTTTCTTTTGTTTCATTACAATAAGTGTCTTGAATATTTTTGCTTTTAATGTTATATAAAATGGTTAAGATATGAATAAAATTTGGTAGTACATCAAATAAAAAAAAATAAACTAAAAAAGCAGAAAGACAGAGATGCTTCTCTTAATACAGGCAAACTTTCTGTTTCCAAAAGTCCAGAAAATGTTATAATACAGTAGTGGCCAAAATTGTGCAAACCTTTTGGGAAAAGTGTATTTTTGAGGTCTGATGGCTAATAACACTTCTTTTTTTGTAGTAGTAGTAGTACCATAAAATTATATATCAATGGAAAGATAATTTAATCAAGAATATAATGCAACAAAGTTTGTTCAATTATCTGTACTGTATTCTATGAAAAGTTATAGCCAAATAACCGGAAAAAGAAAGCACAACTTGCTTGGGTTGATATCAGGTAGCTTTCCTTCATCTGATTGTAGCCAATGAGCATGAGTGTTTAGAGAGCCAATCAGGTGTCATCTTGTTTTGGCAATGAGCCAATCAGATCACATCAGTTATTGATGTCATGTATTGAAGTTGAGAGGAGGACATTTTTCAGTGTGTTATGTGATGGCTATCAAGTTGGTTGGGGTTTTTTGTGTTCTTTCATTTAGTGAGCTTGTAAAACGTAATAAAATTAAAGTAATGGTGCAAAGAGTTGACTGGTCGCCCAGAAAGCGATGTAAAATAGAATTATTAAGTGAACAAGCCTACAGTTATAAAGAAATTAGAGGAAAAATTGGTGGAAACTTAACCAAAGGTGGCATTTCTACTGTATAGTTTTCCCAAAAGGTTCCCACAATTTTGTCTACTACTGTAGTAGCAAGAGATACTGTGAGACATAGCTTCTGATAACAAAATATGTCAGAAAGTGGGACTGATAAAGATTGTTCTGAGTTTGTTGTTTGATACTATTGAAGGCAAAAGCCAGAATGTATCAAACATTCAGTCTTCAATATTCAGTCTGATGAGTTGGTTTTGAGGGAAAGCAACTTGTGTGCTCGCTGATGTTCAGCAGTGGAAATATGCTACAGCAGTGCTGCAGATCCGCTCCTAGTTGCCAAGAGGCTTCTGGATGGAATTTAGCCCTACACAGGTTGACCCCTGGTTATCTGCAGGATATCTTAGGCAGAGTTCTTTTGGTTATTGCTAATTTTTAACTGGAGGCCACTGGGGTAACCCCGAAACATTTTATGTTCTTTCTTCAGTCCACCATTTATAAAAGGGAAGTGGCCATCTCACCCTCCCACCTACAAACTTTGCACATGTCATGACCAGTACCTTGCTGCGACTCTCCTCAGGCATGTAATACCGATTATGCTTCTCCATCTTCTCCTGCTCTCCAGCCTGTTTGTACTGTTTTGCCAAGTCGCGCACTCTGCATTTGTACTCCAGCTCCTGTTGTTCAAGAGCGGTGAGTTCTTGCTCGGAGAACAGGTACTCCTCATCCTTGATCTCTGCTTCCAAATCTTCCATCTTGTCCTTTTCTCGTTTGGCTAAGTATTCCCGACGAGATTTCTTGCGTAGTTCTGGAATCTGACATAGAGGAAGAGAGTTTTATCCTCATTACAGTCTGAATGATTTAGTTTTTAAAAAAAGATTTTAGGGTCCGAATTTCATTAGATTCTTTAGGATTAGCTTATCAGTTACTGGCCTGTAAATACATATTCAAAGGTGTAACTGCAAGCTTGATTTTTTGCAGTTTATTCTACAATATTATATTCTTGATATTTACAGTATATACATTATGTGTGCAAGTTAGGACATTTATTATAAGGTCTACCTTATAATTATTTCATAGGTCAGACATTAAACAGCATCACTGAACTGAAAGGGACAATTTAGGCCAGTGAATATAATCTCCTGGTCATTGAAAGGATCCAGAGGAAAGCATTTTCAACAGATGATTCTCCAGCCTTTGTTTAAACCAGTGGTTCTCAACCTTTTTATACGGCGACCCCGGACATAAGCAGGCGGCGCGCATGCGCGGCGGCGCCCCCTGTGCGACATGCATGCGCGGCACCGCTTATCTCATTGATAAAGTGACTCTGGGCAGCTCATAGAATGGTAAAAAAAGATAAATATTAAAAACAGTTAAAATTAAAATTAAGATTTATAACTGCCTCAAATGCATTTAAAATTGAAAACAAGATTTGCTAACGATAATCAATCCCTTAAAGCAGGGGTGCCAAACTCACAACATCACGTGACATGTCACAACTTTTTTCCCATTTCCGGCAATGGAGTGGGCGCGGTTTCGCTATGATGCATCCGGCCCGCAGTTTGATACCCCTGCCTTAAAGAAATCCCTCATGTCAGTATGAAAATATCTCATATTTTGAATGATTGATAAAATCGATGAGTCTTTTTATTCAGAATACAAATGAACATAAGAACAGAGCATATTTCATGAATGAAGTCAACATTCAAATTCATGTTGCTGAAATCTAGATAAATCTTCAGCCAAGTAAGAGAACTTGTCAAGGTTCCAGCAACAGGTGAATTTTACATTCTAACATATGTCTTTTTATATGATTATGTGTGCTTTACTGATAATAAACACTTGACATTTTTTAAAAACATTCACTATTTCATTAAAATAATCACTAGAGCTGAATTTTTTGAAAACACAAGTAGAGAATGTTAGCTATTTGGGCATTTTATTTTAACATGCTCTATCCTGGCAACATCATTGCAAAACAATACTTCTGAAAGCAAGCTCTACTATAAAGGCCTTGCTTCAAGCTCTTACCATGAATTTCTTGTCCTCTTCCGCCATCTTTAAACGCTTCTGAGCTTCTTCATATGCCTAACCTCGACATAATCAGGAAACAAATATACAATATAAATCAAACAGTAATTCCAAAAAAGCTTGCCAACAAATGCTGGATGCAATATTTTCAGGATTATGGACTTAGGCATGCAACAAAGAGATTTACAGAAAAATTGGGAATAATGTCAGCAACAAAGTGGAACTTCCTCTTCTAAATAATATAAGCACTAGGTATATTTCTCAGGTATGAAAGAGGAAGAAATCAGAGGAGTCCAAAACATGAGAACTCTGGAGCTGGCATAGTAGAGATTTGAAAGTGATTGAAAAGGAGTCAACTACATGTTTCCATATTGGGAATGAAGGCCTTGCAAAGCCGGACTGAAATAAAAGATTCCATATCTCACTGAGTCAGCATTAAAAGTTTAGCCATTAATCTTGTACAAGATTGAATAAGAATTATACCATGGTTTAAAAGTAAGGCAAAACCGTATGTATACAAAGTTCTGAGACTTCTGCAAATTATCACAGTTCAATAATTTTGCACAATTTTCTTTGGCTCCCTGTTCCACTTTCCCCAGAAATGGAAAGAATGCCTACAAAGACACGTAGAGAACTGTGTCTGATTCCTGTTCCAAAAAACTTATTCAGGAATCTTTTCAGGTTTTCCACTTTTACCAAACATTGTCTATGTTCTTTTAAGTCCGCCTTTTGGCTAGACTGGCTAAAAAAAAGCAGTGTTACATTAAAAAAAACCTGCCTCTTGTTTACACCTGAGTAGAAACATAGTGTATATACTCAGTGATATTCATAATGATATGCAGGTATAGATACGTATGTATCTATATATTTGCAAGTGTGTGTAGATCTCTGATATTCAATTTTTAGCCAAATTTTCCAGCCCCAGGTGAAATGCTCCTAATGCAAAAATGGGTGATATAAGAAAAGAATGGGCAGGACAAGTTAGGACATGGCCAATCCAAAAGGGCTTCCCCGTTTACGAAAGCAAAATCCCAAGGCTGAGACCACACCTTCTTGTCTGATCGCTCGAGGATATTGCGCGTCTTTTCTTTGTCCTTGCGTTTGACACGTTCTGCAAAAGCGTCACGTTCTTCCAAGTCTTGCAGCCGCTCCCGTTCGCTCCGGTCCCATTCATCCTCTGAATCCTCTTCTGGAATCCTAGGCCAAAAAAAAACAAAAACAAGAATATCTGTGGCGTTCCTTATTTTTTTCTCCCAACTCTGCTTTTTGCAAGAGATGGGATACTCACCGTCCCTTGTCCTCTTCACTAAGCTTCTCATCAGAGTCTTTGTCTTCCTCTTCTTCCTTGCGCTGCCTCAGGTGTTTCTGCCGTTTCCGTTGCTTGCTCTCAGGACCCCGTGAGGGGTGGTGACGCTTTGAGCTACGGGCTGCTGTTGTTTTACTGGTTTCTTCATCATCGCTGTCCTCCAACAGGGTATATGAACGATTCTTTTCCTGCAACGCTAAGGCCTGCTGCTCAGCTAATCTGGCTGGACGCTCCTGTGGCACCTGGTGTGGAACCTACGAACCATTGAGGGAGGTGAACAAACCAGTTAGAACTCCAAACACTGCAATTTCTACACGTATACCACATATAAAACTCTTGAGAATCTAGCTCTCGTTCTTTAGCACCAGCCTAGAAGCCACATGGCTTTCCCAATTTCTCCAGGTCTATTTGTAATAATTAATTTTGACTTAAATATTGAACTCAGGAATATTCAAATCTTACTTCTGCCAAGATTTCATTAACTGGATCTGTTATGAAGTCTTCACCCTCCATTTATTGTTTTTATAACAGTGACCAACTTGATGGGTCAGTCTACAGATTCCCATTAGGTAGTTCATCTGAAATACGTGGAAACACAAAATCACTAAATGCTACATATTCTTTTCAAAACCTATTTTCACACTTCCATTCATTTCCTGTTGAATTTCTAAAGAAAGAAAAATTAATGGGATCTGGTGCAACCACCTTTATTATAGAGCAGGAACACAAAATAAGAATTGGTTTCTGCAGAAAAAAATTAATAAATTCCATTTCCAGCTGTATGGAGAACTATTCCTAGCTTGAAATCAGGAAAAAGTGACAGTGGTGCCCTTCTGAAATTTTAAATTTCAACTCCCATCAGCTCCACCACTAAAGCTATCAGTTTGTGTCCATCCAATCAATGCATTTCCTGACTGAGTTTTCAAGGAATGTATCAGTTCCACTAAATGGACCAAACAAAGAAAATTATTTAGATGGGCTATTTTAAAACAGTGTTTCTCAACCTTGACAATTTTAAGGCATGTGGACTTCAACTCCCAGAATTCCACAGCCAGCAATGCTGGCTGTGGAATTCTGGGAGTTGAAGTCCACAAGCCTTAAAATTGTCAAGGTTGAGAAACACTGGGCTATAACAACAGAATCTTGCCAAGTATGATTGTGTTGTACCTCCTCCTCCTTCTTACAATTCAGTGAATTAGGGAGTGTCCAGCAACACTATACTCCCTTTTAAGTAGGCAATGGAGTCTGTATATCTCTAAAGGTCATCTTCTTTACTCTCTACAGAATTTAATAAGTGGACTCACGTAATCAGATACAGTGCCTTCACATTCTTGCTCCTCCTTATCATTATCTATAATTATTGCTCTTTAAAGCTTTTTTGTCCTGATGCTCAGTAGAAAAGCTTTTAGAGTAGCAGACACACAATCAATGAAAAAGAGTCTACAATTTGAAAGTCATACTCAAAGAAGAAAATAGGAAAGGGGCTTTTCAACCTTTTCACAGATTGAACCATTTTTAAGATATGGCAATATTCGAGTACCACCAGTTGCCTGGCAAGGTGTCAAAAACTTGATGACCAAAAAAAAAAAACGAAAAAGAAAAAAGTGATAAAGTACAGGTAGTTCTTGACTTACAACAGTTTGCTTAGTGACTGTTCGAAGTTACAACGGCCCTGAAAAAAGTGACTTATTATCATTTTTCACACTTAGGACCGTTGCAGCATCCCCAGGGTCATGTGATTTACATTCGGATGCTTAGCAACTGATTCATATTTATGATGGTCACATTGCCCCAGGGTCATGTGATCCCCTTTTGCAACCTTCTGACAAGCAAAGTCAATGGTGAAACCAGATTCACTTAGCAACCATGTTACTAATTTAACTACTGCAGTGATTCACTTAACGAATGTGGCAGGAAAAGTTGTAAAATGGGACAAAATTCATTTATCAAATTTCTCACTCCTCCTTTTATATCCTCTCTTCTCTCTCCCCTCCTTCTTTTATATCCTCTCTTCTTTTTCCCTCTTCTTTTATACTGTCTCTTCTCTCCCCCCACCCCTTTTCTCTTCGGTGTACCTCCAGCTGACTGCTCTCCTCAAGGCTGCATTTCTCCATCTCTCTTTTGCCGTCCCCTTCTCTTTCCCCCATTCTTTTTTTTCTCTCCCTCTACCACCAAAACCTGATCCTGTTATAGCCTCTCCTCTCTCTTCCACCCTCATTTTCTCTTCCGGGTGCGCTGGAAGCGCCGATCAACTGTAACTGCATGTGCTGATCCTGGGCTCTTAGCAGGACCCAGGCAACAGCTCGCACAGCTCCAGCTGAATCTCTGGCTGAAGATTGTGTGAGGCTGCCTGCCATCCCCAAGGCCGTTGCCGATCAGCTGGAGCTGCGCCTGCTGATCCTGGGTTCTCAGCAGAATCCAGGCAACACCTTGCGCAGCTCCAGCTGACTCTCCCACAAGCCTGTTTGGTGCTGCTGCCAGTTCACCTCATCCACTTTTACACTTTTTTTTTACAGTGCTTTTCAACCCATCGTACGCGTACCACCTGCCAGGTGCCACCATACTACCAGTGATATGCGTATCACCAGTTGAAAAGCCCTGATCTATACTATCTTGTTCTATACAACAGGGTAGTTTTGATGATCATGGAACAGTTGCAAGCTTTCAAATTCAAAACAAAATTCAGGACAAATTGGTTTAGATCTCTTATGTTAAACAAAGCTAAAGCCAACAAAGCTAAAGAGAATTTGTTTCATACATTAAAAAAACAGGAAACAACAATTTTTGTTTTGTCTTCCTAGCGGTTTTAAAGAAAATCCTAGATGCAGCTTCGCATCTCTCAGTACCATTTAAGACTCCGATATATACATTTGGGGCTCTCCATCATCTCATCTGAAATATAATCTGGCATTTGCATTCTTTTAGAGAGTAGTTGAGGCCACATGGGAGGTTTCTCTGTGTCCTCAAGGTTATCTGAGTAGTGCAAGTGTGTGTGTGTGGAGCCTTTTCGGCTGCAGAATTTTTATTTTTTTGACCAGCTGTCTGCAAGGAATATAAATCTTTCCATTCCCCACCAATCCAGTCAGAGCTGAAGAAGCTTCTTGGATGAGAAGCAAAACGTCTTCAAAGAAAAACAAGAAAGTCCACTTGTCTCCTGAAAAAACACCTTTGGGGGACAACCATGACCTGGATGACTGAGAATCTCCATTGACATATAAACTCTCAACCACTCTCTCTTCCACTCCTCCCACTTTGTCTGAGGAAAAGATCTGGAACACTCAGAGGAAAGCTTACATCTATTTTGTGAAATGTTAATACGGATTTGGATTTATTTTTTTCATACAGAGCACTTCCTGTTTCTCACCCCTTTTTCGACAGCCCCGCCTCTGACAGCCTCCCCCCCCCACCAGTCTCGCTCTTCGAAGAGGGTCGCGCGCTCAACTGCCAAACCGTCTCACCCGGTCCCAGAGTTGCTGGGCGAAGGCGCGCGCGGTGGGGTCGGTCACCCGCAGCGTCTCGGTCTCTTCCAAGCGAGTGAGCAAGTCCTCCGGAGTCCGGCTCCGCTGGGCCAGGCCCACCATGAAGGCCACGACATGGCGCTCGCTGAGCCCCAGAAGGGTATGGAGCTGGTTCGATACCCAACGCTCCAACTCTCCCGCCATTGCAGCAGGACGCCGAACCCCCAAATCTCGCTTCGAGCTGCGTGGTAGTATTTCCGAGCTCGTGCTGCTGGGAGCCAATCAGCAAGCTCGGAAAGGCGAAAAGTTCGTCATCTTAAAGCGACATTCAAAAGACAGGCTAACGTTGCTCTCGAGTTTGGTCGGTCTCTAATTGGAATTGTGGGAAATGAAGTCCAGTACCCCAGGGAAGCATCTGGCTTACGTTCTGAACGGTGTTTCCTAGCCCTCCTCAGGCTGCAATTCCCATCATCCCCAATCAGTATAACAAATGGTCAAGGATGATAGGTTGCTACATTAGAAATCCTAGCAACACAAACGTTTGAACAGGTTATGGCAGTTTCACGTAGCTACGTAATCTGCAGTTTAGACTGCTCTTCCACATTTTTAGTATTTGTGTGTGTGAATCAGGTTATGTGCCAAAAGGCATTATCTGATGAAGAAAGATATTCCTTTGGAAATAGGGAAATCATAAGTAATTCCATTCAAGAATAGGTGTTCTGAAATCAGGGATTTTGCTTCCTGAATACCGTATACTTAGCAGCTTTTCATATTTTCTGTGTTTTAGACTGCAGTGCATGGAGAATGCAGAAGAGCCACTTTATTTAAACCATTGGCCATTACCATCTTTCCATGCTGTGCAACTTGCTCTTTAATTTCCCCTTCTTTATTTTAGAACCTCACTTGGGTTCCCTCAGACCGGATCCCCCCCAAAATCAGGATTTTTTTTTCCCCTGAGGAACACCTGATCCATATGTGAGATGTCAGGAACAAGTTTCAATCCTTCCTTTATTAAGTGTAATAAAACTAAGGGAGAAGTATAGTAAGATCCTTTGTTGTATGCTTTATTTGTTGCAGTAGCCTAGAGCAAATCATTCCTTATTCTAACATAAGGATTATTCTGTTTGATTATGCTAGGGTTGAGGGAAAGAGGAACCTGTCCTGTGAATTATTTTGGTCTTGAAGAGGGGAACAGTCATAGCACAGGCAGTTATGTCTTCCCTTAGGCTACACAAGCTTCATTGGTTGCCAGTTAGCTTCTGGATTCAGTTCAAGGTTCTGGTTTTAACCTTCAAAGCCCTGTATGGAATGGGGCTAGGTTATCTGAGGGACAACTTCTCCCTGGTTACATCTACTTATTCCTGCAAGTCCATCAGGAGGGTTATGAGTAACATATGCTAAGGACTTTCAACCATAGCACCTGCCCTCTGGAACACCATTCCCCCTAAATGTGAGATTAGCCCCAACTCTATTAATCTTCCAGATGTCTCTTAAAATGTGTTTTTTTCCCTAAAGTTTCCCATAGAAACGGAGCCTACAAAATGGTTACATTGATCCATTCTTCCTCTCTTATTTATAAGTATGTTTTATGATTTTAATGGTTGTTTAGACTTTTTAACTCTTTGTTTCATTGTAATTACCCAGGGTCACATGAGATGAACGGCTATATAAATTCGGTAAATAAATAAAGATAAGAATTAAATGTTGTTTTGCTGGAGCACCCCAAAGTCTAGCTAGCCCAGCATTCTGCTTCCAACAGTGCATAGGATATAACAGATATATGTGACCATCAAACCATGAAGAACCATCTTCTTCTTGTCCTTTCTTTTAAGTACTGTATTCAAGATAACTATTTTAAGGGAAAGATCTATGTAGCTGTCATGATGAGTAGAGGAATAAAGACAACTAGATTATCGTGCAACATCATTCTGGTTTATTGTTAATAATAATAATAATTACATGTAACAAAAAACACTGATGGAAATGGCTGGACACAGCTTCTTCAGCCCTCATTTAACATACATCGATCTTTGCAGACCCCATCACACGCCTGTCAAAGAAAAAGATGTCTGCAGTATTCAGTCACTCACTCACTTATTCATGGGCTTTATGCTTGGCTGTCCCGGCAGTGCAAAATAAAAGGAGAAATGATAATTAACAAGGGTGCACAGATAGATAAATTAGTAATGAAGGGAGAGAGAGAAGATATGTAATTTTCTCTTCTGCACCTTCCATTTAAACTTTTACTTCTTCGCTTGACAGTTTTCGTTCCTAAAGCCTCACCTCTCTCCTCCCATACATTCGTCAACTTCCTTTCAATTTGCATTCTTGTTCCATTGATCAGTTGTGCCATTCTTTGAGTAATTTAATTGAGCAAGTCAACCAAGCTTCACAGCTGGGGAAAAGGGATTCCTGTTTAACAATTTAGAAACTGTTTCAATTTAATTTGGATACTTCCATCTTAACTTCAGACTTTCCGCCAAGAGGACAAAGGAATTATACTTTTGGTTCCAAAAGGTGGAATTGTGAAATATTACAGCCCTGAGACAGGACCTGGGTTGTGGAGGGCTTGGAGGGCCTCACTGGCCCTCAGCTTCCCTGAGTCAACCCACCTCCTCATTTTTTTTTTAATTATCAGCACTACAAATGATTTGCCTGCTGCCTCATTGCCCAAGGTGGAAGGTCATCCTGAGAGACACAAAAACTATATAGCTCCTTCTTCTTCTGATCAAAGACGAACACGTCTTTATCAAGGTGTGCAAGCTGAGCAGTGGTGCTCAGATGTTCAGATGGTGCATAGAAGTAGCCAGGTTAACATCTTCAAACAAATGTACCATGGCTTTCCTTAATCTTAACTAAATTAAGACTTTATCCTAGTTAAAAATACTATGCAATGCAGAATGGCAAGTACAGGTAGTTCTCGACTTACAACCATGATAGGGAAATTCATCATTAAGCAATGAGGTCATTAAGTGAATCATCCATGACTGTTAAGCAAGGCATCCTGTGATTGTGACTTGCAACCTCCTGAGGGCTTTTCCATTGATTTTTGCTTGTTGGAATCTGGATGAGAAGGTCACAAATGGCAATCACATGGTTGTTGTTAAGTGTGAGCTGGTTGCAAAGTGCCTGAATCACAATCACATGGCCATGGGGACATTGCAACGATCTTAAATATGAGAACCAGCTATACGTCACATCATAACTTTGAATGGTTGCTAAACAAATGGTCATTAAGTGAGGATTACCTGTACTTATCAAAATGGATGGTAGAACAATAATATTACTAGTATTATTGCTACTAATAATAATACATTTTTGGCCAAAGAATCCAAAGTCATCTGGGGTGAGTGGGGGGGGAGGTCAATTTGGAAGCCACAATTGTCCAACTGAAGGGGCAATTCTTTGAGTGTGTGGTTGTGGATAACATCCAGACCTTTTGTACCCTCCCCTGTGGCCACCCCTGAAAGCATCACTTCATTTTTTAACATTCAAGACTCTGTTCACTTCACTTCATGCCCACCCATCTAAATCCATATGAGTTGTGAATTCTAAACATGAAATGGATACGACTAAAACCAGAAGTTGTACTTTTCTCCTGATTCTGCTTTGTTTGTCCATTCCACCCCCCCTGCCTCCCCCCCTTGTTCCACTTCCATACTTTAGCCTGGCAGTCCCACAAGACCACCTCAGCCTAAACTCAAAGAGAGAGAAAACACAAAATGCCACCACAAAGAACAACGGTCTCTGCCCTGTGCAGAGATAACCTTTCCCTAATTGTTCAGTTCCATGCCTTACTAAGTGCTCTTGATTTAAAACACAGAGAGGCCCGTCCCCATTGCCCAGTTGCATGCCATATTACTCACACCTAGAGTCATGCTATGTTGAATTGATTTCCTCTTCAATGGCCCCCCTCCCGCCCCGGAATACTGATAAGCAGTGTGTAACCTTCCCCGGTCGCCCCCCCCCCCAAATGGTGCTTTGCTTTGTTTTCCTTTAAACATCATAACAAGACAAGATACTTTATAAAGAAAAAAAAAGCAGAAAAACAACAACAACAACCAGACAAAGTTACATCAATGTCCCTCAGCCCAGAGCTGAAGCTTTCAAATGCTGTGTGGTTGATGGTAAGGAGTAAAATAGGTTCAGTGATGTTAGCCCTTGGTGTTTGAAGGTTCAATGGTCTTTCCTCAGGGAAAATATTAAAACAGGCTCCTCAGCGACTGACAGGAGCAGAAGGAAAAACATTGGTTGAGATTCCCTTCTAGATTGGGCTGCATTTCACACAATTTGGAGCCATCTAGATGTGGGGTAGTTTTTCCTAAGCAAAGAGGTTCTGTTTTCAGGGTCAACGTGGAGAGAAGAGCCATATCAAGGGTGAAGATGCTGTGTTAACTCCTGAAGGGAGAAACGCACAGTGTTCAAAACTAGGAAGAGGTTGATAGGTCTTTATTGGTCCCTGTTTCTTTTTCCTTGGTGTGTCAGTCATTGGAAGACAAAAAGAGATTCAAGGTCCAGCCGAAGGATTTTGAAACACGGCTCCAATCTTGAAATAGATTCCATCTTTTCCTGTACCAGGAAAGAAAGATGATAAGCTATCGCCGACAGGACTCATCTAGAAAAAGGGAAAGAAAGAATACCAGCATAGTTAGTAAAGGAGGAAAACAACAACTCTTAGTTTGCATTCCCCCTTTTGGCACTGGTTAAAAAGGCCTTTAGATGGCACTTCAGTATTAACTCTAAGGCTCCTGTTTATTTCTATTCTTCCAACTATAGCATTTCTGGTTTTACAAGTCTCTCATCTATTTATAATGGTGCAGGGTGGTTTTTTTGGAGTGGGGGGAGAGAGATCTGGATGAAAATTAGGATTTTCATCCGATCCCAATTACAAATACTTGTAGATTGATCATTTTAAAAAAACTTTGTTCTCTTTTTGTTGTTACTGTCAGATATAATTCTGTTCATCTGAATCGTAACACAAATATTCACGGACAGTTTTCCTTCAAGGCTGTTGAAAGCTCTGTCCATCATGGAAATGGATTATATTATTCCTTAACCAAATCTTGAATTCAACTCAGTGAATGTGCTTTTTTTTTTTAATCAGTAAGGGGTTGATATTTGTGAACGTTTCCAGCTGTAACATGCTTGAAAGTTCCCACTATATGAAAATATGCAGGGATTTTTCAAAAAAGCCAACACAATGCTGGGCTGCATTAACAGAGGGATAGAATCAAGATCACGTGAAGTATTAATACCACTTTACAATGCCTTGATAAGGCCACACTTGGAGTACTGCATCCAGTGTTGGTCACCACAATGTAAAAAAGATGCTGAGACTCTAGAAAGAGTACAGAGAAAAGCAACAAAGATGATTAGGGGACTGGAGGCCAAAACATATAAAGAACAGTTGCTGGAATTGTGTATGTCTAGTTTAGCGAAGAGAAGGACGAGGGGGGACACGATAGCAGTGTTCCAATATCTCAGGGGCTGCCACAAAGAAGAGAATCAAGCTATTCTCCAAGGTGCCTGAAGGCAGGACAAGAAGCAACGGATGGAAACTGACCAAGGAGAGAAGCAACCTAGAACTAAGGAGAAACTTCCTGACAGTTAGAACAATTAACCAATGGAACAACCTGCCTCCAGAAGCGAGCAATGCTCCAACACTGGAAGTTTTTAAGAAGAGACTGGACAGCCATTTGTCCGAAATGGTGTAGGGTTTCCTGCCTGAGCAGGAGGTTGGACTAGATGACCTCAAAGGTCCCTTCCAACTATATTATTATTATTATTATTATTATTATTATTATTATTATTATTATTATTATGATGGATCATCGCATAGTCAGCCAGATGTTCAGACTGGATTTGGCATTTTGTCTACCTACCCAGGACCTGGGATAGGCAAATGTGGATGTTTGATAGTATTACAGATATCGTCGCAGGATGGAAGCAGTTCCTAGTAAGGCCGCCTTTTGCAATTGACTAATAGCGAATTTGTCAATGCCAATGGTGTTCAAGTGGTGCTCCATTATTATTATTATTATTATTATTATTATTAGTTGTTGTTTCAAGTCGAACAACAGACAGATATGTAACAATTCCTCAATCTCCGTATGATGGCAGTTGTCTACAAGAACCAGTTGCCAGCCCATTGTAGCCCAACTTTGTATAACAGTATAACAGAATATCAGAGTTGGAAGGGACCTTGGAGGTCTTCTAGTCCAACCCCCTGTTCAGGCAGGAAGCCCTATACCATTTCAGACAAATAGTTGTCCAATCTCTTCTTAGAAACCTCCAGTGTTGGAGCAGCCACAACTTCTGGAGTCAAGTCGTTCCACTGATTAATTGTTCTAACTGCCAGGAAATTTCTCCTTAGTTCTAAATTGCTTCTTTCCTTGGTTAGTTTCCAATTATAACTTACAAGTTACAATTCAAAACCCAGCTAAAGAGACAGAATCTGTGTCAAGAGTGATTGGGGAAAGATTTTGCAATCCACTCTAATCCAAGCATTGCCAGGGGATCCCAGATACTCACCTACAATAAGTGGTTTGCTCCTGAGCAGGCCAGGGAGGCCACGATGAAGCAGCAGCAACTCCTCTTCTTCTTCCTCCTCATCCCCAGGGGGGTTTGTGCTAACCAAAGATTCTGACTCTTCTGGGGGCCCAAACTCCTCCAGTAGGGAACTCTCTGATGGGTATTGGAATGTCCTCTCCAGCTGGTTCTCACTGAATGAAATCCTAAGCTGCAGGTGGAGAGAGAAAGAGGGATGGACGGATGGATGAATGGATGGTAGGTAAATACCAAAACAGCATGATGCAAGATCAGGTTCTTGGCCCATTTCAAACTAGATTTGCCTTCCCTTATTTGATGCCTTTGGGATGCCATACAAACGTGATGGACTTCCATCCCCTTAATCCACAGAGAACAGAGTAAAACATGGAGCTGAAGAATTCACATTTGTAGGACATCAGTTGAAAAGTCTTCACTAGATTAATAGTAAAATCTTAATAATAATAATAACAACAACAACAATAATAGTTGGAAGGGATCTTGGAGGTCATCTAATCCTATCCCCTTCTCAGGCAGGAAACCTCTATACCATTTTGGACAAATGGCTGTCCAGTCTCTTCTTAAAAACTTCCAGTGTTGGAGCATTCACAGCTTCTGGAGGCAGGTTGTTCCACTGATTAATTGTTCTAACTGTCAGGAAATTTCTCCTTAGTTCTAGGTTGCTTCTCTCTTTGGTTAGTTTCCACCTGTTGCTTCTTGTCCTGCCTTCAGGTGTTTTGGAGAAAAGCAGCCCCTGAGGTATTGGAACACTGATATCATGTCCCCCCTCGTCCTTCTCTTCATTAAACTAGACATGCCCAATTCTAGCAACCGTTCCTTATATGTTTTAGCCTCCAGTCCCCTAATCACCTTTGTATATGTGTATTCAAAAATAAGGTCTATTAATTTAATGGAATTTACTTTGAGCCAGGTAAAGTAAGTAGTATAGGGGGTACCTTGCTCAATAGTAGTAACTGTGAGAGGGACCTCGGAGTCCTAGCGGACAATCACTTAAATATGAGCCAGCAGTGTGCTGCAGCTTCCAAAAAGGCCAACACTGTGCTAGGCTGCATTAACAGAAGGATAGAATCAAGATCACTTTACAATGCCTTGGTAAGGCCACACTTGGAATACTGCATCCAGTTTTGGTCACCACGCTGTAAAAAAGATGTTGAGACTCTAGAAAGAGCACAGAGAAAAGCAACAAAGATGATTAGGGGACAGAAGGCTAAAGCACATAAGAAAAGGCTGCTGGAATTGGGTATGTCTAGTTTAACAAAGAGAAGGACGAGGGGGGACATGATAGCAGTGTTCCAATATCTCAGGGGCTGCCACAAAGAAGAGGGAGTCAAGCTATTTTGCAAAGCGCCTGAAGGCAGGACAAGAAGCAACAGATGGAAACTAATCAAGGAGAGAAGCAACCTAGAACTAAGGAGAAACTTCCTGACAGTGAGAACAATTAACCAGTGGAACAACCTGCCTCCAGAAGTGGTAAATGCTCCAATACTGGAAGTTTTTAAGAAGAGACAGCCATTTGTCCGAAATGGTATAAGGTTTCCTGCCTAAGCAGGGGGTTGGACTAGATGACCTCCAGGGTCCCTTCCAACTTTATTATTATTATTATTAAGTAGGTCTGACAACTTGCACAGGCAGGGCCCTTCTATTTCCACAGGCTCATCCTATATATTGTACCCATATGGCAGGGAAATCTGTAGCCTGCAGGAACTTTTTGTTCTTGAAGTAAAATCCTGGTAGAGTATTGCCAATCAGAATTTGATGCAAAGAACATAGTGTCAAATTATAGAACCACAAACCCATGATTTTATTTGAAGTACCAGAAATTCATGGGTTTCAACACAACAATCCCTTTCTAGTTACCCCTAATCTTCATTTTCAGAGGTATAATTTAAGAGATCAGGGAGAATGATCGATTTTCACCACTTTGATACATTGCCCAGAAAACAATTTGAAGAGGCACGAATTGCTAAATCTTCATAGATCTGGCCCTTTAAGATGCCTAGATGGAACAAGCTTTGGGGAAGGCCAACCATACCCCATATACACTGCTTTGAGCTCCCCAAGGTAAGGTGGGATATAAATTACCTCATATTATCATATCATTCATCAGATGGCTTGGAAACCCAATGGGGGAGCTTTGTGCTGGAGGTGGTTGACTAATCAAAATTCATCCACCATCATCACCACCCCTCCCCATTATGTCTGGCTCCCTTCTTAACCATCTTGTGTCAACGATTTTATCTGTTAATGTTTTTATCTGCTGTGTTTTTATGATGGATGATTTTAATGTTTTTCGATTTTTTTATGTTGTAAGCTGTCCAGAATTGATAGATAGATAGATAGATAGATAGATAGATAGATAGATAGATAGATAGATAGATAGATAGATATTCATTGTAAGTATAAATGAATGCTATTGGTACACATCTGTGTCTACCTTAAGTCTCCAACAGAGATGGTCTTTAAAGTTACAGCAAATCATAGTCTGGCCTTCTACTCTCTGAAGGGAGGCTATACTGTAGTATCCAGGTAATTCCGTGAGACTCCAGGGGTTAAATCTCTTAGGAAGCAAAAGATGTCTTATAAGAAAACAAAGGCTTAATGAGTTTGTGCTGCACTTGTGGTGCAGTAGCTACATTTAGAGCCATAGGAGAATTGCACATTTTAGTCCAGGATGAGAAAATGGGAGTTGTAGTACAGCTCATCTGGAAAGCCCAGTAAGATGAAAGGAAAGTGTGTAATTGAGTATGTGTGGCCACTGGAGAACTAAATTAAGGGAAAGGTTGCAGGCAAGACAGCCAATTATGTCTGCCTTGTAGCAAAACCCTCTTATCAAAAAAGGAGAATATTTGTAGCTCAGGGTTGAAATTAGAGGTCCCTGAGCTTGGTTGTTTTCTTGCAGATGTTTCATTATCCAAACTAGGTGGTATTCATAAGTGATAGCACTGATGATGTTACCTAGTTTGCATAATGAAATATTTGCAAGAAAATAATCAAGTTCAGATAGCATCAAGGACTCCTGAAAACCTTCTTTATCCTGCTTCTTTAGCTGTTCTCAAAAGCATTTATTGTAATTTGCTTGGGTTAAACGGCAGAAATTTGAATACCCCCCCAAAAAAGTTGAGGGATTACACGCAAAAGTGACTGCAGTGTCTTAGGATATATAAACAAAAAGGTTGCAAATTTTTGGCCAATAAATCTCTTCCTAGGACAGTGATGGCGAATCTTTTAGAGACCGAGTGCCAAAACCGCAACTCAAAACCTACTTATTTATTGCAAAGTGCCAGGGGCGCATCAGCATTGTGGTACCCTGGGGAGGGGGGCAGGAAGGCGCCTCTGGCATGCAAAAACCGGGGGCGCAAAAATGGGCCACCTGCTGCAAGACGCAAACACAACCACCGTGGCACCACAGGGTGCAGATACAAGGCACTGCACCACGCAAAAACAAGGCAGGGCTAGTGAGTATCACACAGGCACTAGCCCTGCCCCATTTGCAGTGCGTGCATGCTTGCGGCTCCATGCGTGCACGCACACATATAAATTGCTTCCCCTCCCTTTTCTTCCAGTCCACCAATCGACAATGGTTGGTGACTTTTGCTCTACTACCTCTACGCGAGCTTGCTAGTCGGCTGCTTTGCCTCCTTTATGCTGGGCAGGGCTCCTGCTCTGGGCGGTGGCGGCGTGCTGATGGACCTGCTGCTGGTGGCAGCAGTGCGCGTGCCAACAGAGAGGGCTCTGAGTGCCACCTCTGGCACGCGTGCGATAGATTCGCCACCACTGTTCTAGGATGTCTCACCATCCCAGATCACACCCAAATCAGGTGATAAACTTTCAGAAAATAATATTAAATTGCCCCATAGGCACTCCTGTGGCCAGAGGGTATCTCTTATATGTGAGAGAAGAGCTTATAGATTTTGTCATCCTTGGATATTTTTAAGAAGAGACTGAAGGACTAGCTCTCAGGGGTGGTTTAATTTATTTTCATGCTCTCTGGGCAGAATTGGACTAGATATTCCTTGTGGTTCCTTTCCAATTCTGTGACTTTAGAATCAGGTATGCTTTTTGTCATCCACTAGCTTAATATGCAAGAAAGCCCAGCAGTCAAAAATAACAAGTGGAAGGTATCTCTCAAAGTCATAGGGAATTAGATGGTATATACATTAAATAGATGATAGATAGATAGATAGATAGATAGATAGATAGATAGATAGATAGATAGATAGATAGATAGATAGATAATGTGGGGAGTCAACCCCCCCCAGAGAAGGAATTATTAAAAGGGCAGAAAAAATATATTTCCTCAAAGGATCTTAAGGAGGCAGAAAAGCATGCCCAGTTTTTTTAATAGCCCCAAGTCTCCCTTCCCCAAGCAGAAACCAGCTCTGTAGAAATGCAGATATAAATAATCCAGGAAAGTTGGAGGCCCCCAGCTAGAAGATTAAGAAGACAAAGACACCTAAAATCTACATACCCCACCCAAACTCTAAGACAGGACATAATAGGATTAACCCACAGATGCCAAAGGGACACAGGTCAAAATACATGACACAGGAAATACAAAGCCTCAAACAGGAACAGGAAACCACCTCAAGAGCCCCAGAGGGTATAAAACCCCACTCCCTACATGTGCTCTCTCTCTCTTTCTGCCAGAGCCATTTTTCTGTCTGGCTTTCCTCTTCAATAAACTGCAACCTTCTTTCTAAAGCAGTCGCCATGTTGTTTATTCCTGGCTTGGACTGAACCATGATGAAGACTTTTAGATAGATAGATAGATAGATAGATAGATAGATAGATAGATAGATAGATAGATAGATAGATAGATAGATAGATAGATAGATAGATAGATAAGATGTTTAGGTAGGCTGTCTAACTGATCTCAAGCCAGCCTCCCCACAGGATGATCCCCATTTGCGGTTCACGTCAATATGTGCACAGTAAAATGTGCTACATAACAAGAACACCTGGAAAAAAAAAAACCCCCGCAAGAGCCAGTTTGGTATAATGGTTAAGGTGCTGGCTAGAAACCAGGAGACTGTGGGTTCTAGTTCTGTTTTAGGCATGAAAGCCAGCACTGTGACCTTAGGCCAATTTTTATTTCTCAGCCCAGCCCACTCCACAGGATTTTTCTTGTGGAGAAAATTGGAGGAAGATGTATTAGGCAAATTTGTCACCTTG